TTTTGACATGGTGAAAGTACGTGCAATAAAGCGGAATATTCTTCAATATGAGAGGAAAACGATAAGAAAATGCTATCATAACAAATTACCGAATTCTTCTGCAAAGATTATTTCTTTCTATATGCGCTGAATTAAAAATCCTTTTACATTATGAAAGTATGTACGTAAATGAAGCGGAGCGTTCCTCAATATGAGAGGAAAACGATAAGGAATGATTACTATCTAAAAATCTATGTGGTTATTTGCAAAATGGTAGAGGTCTTTTTTGTTCAGTTTGACTTAATGTATAAGTATACAACAGCAAACGGTGCCACTGCAGCTCATCTACCATATCACGCGTGATCATTTACCAATCTTCTTTAATTAATTTCTCGGTTATTATTGAGAATATCGCAAAACGATATGGAACTTTTGTGTTCATCTCAATCCGTTCTACGTCCTCACAAGAGATTATAAAGGTGATATCCTGTATAATCATATATAATTCCCTTATAAAAATATCATATTAAAAATCATTGATAATTACTTATTTTCAGTATTAAAAATACTGGATAATAAGTAATTATCAATGATTCTTAGTATGATATTTCTATAAGGGTTGTATATATGATTATATATGATTATATATGATTATATATGGACAGATCTGAATTATATCTGATTATATTTGATTAGATCTTGACAAAATCCATATCTGGTTTTTATATGAACTTTTTTTTCCCGAGTAAAATGAGTGATTTTAAATTGCAGGCGTGATTTTGAATCGCAAATGCGATTTTGCGATAAAGGCAATTGCATATCTATTGCAATTCAAGAGAAGGAAGTCGTAGTGTTTGCGATATATCGCAAAATCGCACATCCCTATCCGCCGCTATGCGATAAATTTCAGAGCGCGACGACCGCGCTGAAATTATCCAAATTACCGACCTCAGCGTCGCAGAAGACAGCTGTCATCGCGCTGTCGTCGCGCCGCCATCTTCCTGCCGCGTCCAGTGGACGTCAAGAGACGAGACATCGAAAAGTCCTGAACGCCCGGATTCGATGTACGATACTGTCATCGTCTCTCTAAATTCCGCAAACTTCAGCTCCGCGCAACAAACTCGCCTCTTTCTCGCGATTCTCTTTCGAGACGTGAGTTTAACGATCCACTTAGTCCGAGCCACGTGATTGCACGTGCCTTATCCACCGTCCTTCTCTCTCTCTCTCGCTCTCGGAATATATGCTAAGCGCGCGAGGGGAGCGCTTTACAACTTCTTGCAATTATTTACCGCGACTTGAAGAACTTGCGTGATTCTACGGGAAAGCTCACTTCGAGCTTTCCGCACGCAACATATTTTCAATTCGTTGCGCGTTTCAATTCCGCTTGATTCGCGTTCCATTTTCGATATTTAGTCGCGCGTGCGACAATCAAATCCCGCCTCCCCCCACCGCTGTTCGCACACCAGCACCTCCTCAGTCGTCTTTCTCTCTCGTTCTTCTCGCGGCACGGCGGAACAGTATCTTCTGCTGTTCCGTGGAGTCAGCAGTGGCAGCGGCGACGGCTGATCACGCACTTGTGAAACTGAGACGAAGACGACACCGAGATGTATCCGAAGACGATCAGTGGCCACCAAGCGAGCCAGGAACACGTACTCGCCGTGTCCCGGGACTTCATCGCGCAGCCCCGACTCAGTGAGTAATCCGCCGACTCGTCTTGGCGACGAGCTCGAACGGGGAATCCAAGTGGGCGTAGCATCTGATCGATCCTCAACTAGGTCAGCTGATCGCCGAAATTCCCGTTTTCCGGCGTTCCTATCGCGACACTTAGGTCTTAGGGGAACGAAAACGGCTGGCTTCAACGCCGCGAACCTCGCGGATAGACGCAATCGTCCGATTACGTCCGCGTAATCGCCGCTCTCGAGGCCGAGCTCGCGGCGTCATGTGACCGCAGGCGACGATTCGTGGCAGCTCGTGTCAATCGCACGGGCGCGTGATTTCGGCTGCTTTCTCGCACTCTTGAGAGGTTTCAGACGATTGTCAATTGATATTAAGAGATAAGAGATCATGAGACGGGCCAAGCGTTCACCCAAATTTTGGAGCGTCGAGCAATGTCTTCGCTCTCACCCTCGGGCGTGACTTCAGTCGTTGGCACCCGCGGAATTACGATATAATGTATCATGACAGATATATAAATGTTATAAGCAATTCCTTGTAAGACTGTCATATATAGTTTACTTGATCTGACTTGTATTTGTAAGCTTATTCAGCAAAATTCTGGTATCCAAAATTAAAGGTGTGAGTAGAAATTATTTTTAGGAAATATGCAGGGTGTTCACTAATGATATCTACTATATCTTTACCTGTTACAATAATTGTGGACAAGAAAAAGTTCTAGATAGAATTAATCATTTTTCAAACAGTTATAAAATGCAACAATAAAAATCTTCAAAAAGTTCCTTCTTTATAAAAAGTCAAGGTCATCTTTACTTTTTTAAATGGATCTATATTTTTTATCCTTAGTCTTGTAAAGAGAATTAAAATTAATTCAATGGTAACTCTCATAATGTTACCTTTATTACTACCTCACAGCAAAGAGTACAATAAAATAATAATGAAGAATTTTAACAACATATAACATAAACATGCAGAAATATAAATCAAAATATCCTAATCAATGCGATATATAAATCTTATTACAAAGGATGGGACTTTGTGTTGCAGAAACTGGTAAAAAAATAGTAGATAACATTATGTTAAACATAATTCTATGTGAGGAAGTTTCTGTAATTTTCATTAAATTAGAAAAATAGCATAACTGTTGCTCATATTGAAAGCCTTAGGCTCTCCTTTTATTTACTGCATCACCTATTGAAATGGATACCACTGCTTTTTTGTGGGATATTACTTGAGTAAAAATTACTCATTTCTACTATCTATCTCTCAGAATTCACAATAAATTTATCTATCTATATATCTATCTATACCACTTATTTTTACTAATACATATTATAGATTATTGCTACCTTTTTAAGATTAAGTTAATATGATTTTTATTAAGCTAAATGCGTAATCTGTATTAAAAATATATTAATAACATCTGATTTACAATGTATTCTTTGCTTTCTATTTCTTATTTTCTCCTTTTTTCTGGCTTAAGGTTTAAAGTTCGAGTCAGAAAGAGATAAAAAGAAAGAAATCAGGATCAAAGAAAGATCATATTACAGATCAAATTTTACACACAGAAAACACCAAGTTCTATGTAGTAATTAACTCTTTTTTTCAGCGTATAAGACAGTGTCTGGAGTAAACGGTCCATTGGTGATATTGGACGAGGTGAAGTTCCCAAAGTATGCTGAGATCGTACAATTGAAGCTCGCAGATGGCTCTCTACGTTCTGGTCAAGTACTCGAGGTGTCCGGCTCTAAAGCCGTGGTCCAAGTCTTCGAGGGCACATCGGGTATCGACGCGAAAAACACTCACTGCGAGTTCACCGGTGATATTCTGCGGACCCCCGTGTCTGAGGACATGTTGGGTCGTGTGTTCAACGGCTCAGGCAAACCGATCGATAAAGGTCCGCCGATTCTGGCGGAGGACTACTTGGATATCCAAGGACAGCCTATCAATCCGTGGTCCCGTATTTATCCGGAGGAGATGATTCAAACCGGAATATCAGCCATCGACGTTATGAACTCCATTGCCCGTGGTCAGAAAATCCCCATTTTCTCTGCTGCTGGTCTGCCACATAATGAGGTATACTTTTATTCAGCTTTGTATTTAGAAAGATAAATGAAAAGAAGAATTTAAAAAGAGATAAAAAAGAATGTTACAAATAGCATTTTTCCCCATTGACCAAATCACATTTTTACCCACTGACGAAATCTTAACTAATCAAAACTAGTTGGAAATTGTTTCTGAGATCTTCTAGAAACAAGAAGTAACAATTAGTCTACCAAGTCAAGGGGAAATTATGAAAACCAGAATTTACAATTAATTATTTAAACAATCATATGAAGTGTTTTTAAACCTTACACCCTTGATATATCTTTAAAATAAGATCAGTTACACATTTAATAAAAACACTTTATATGACTATCTCAACAATCAATAATAAATTTCGATATTTTTATAACTTTTCTCGGATCTAATAAATAAATGTTATTTTCTATAAAATCCCAGAAATAATTTTCAATGATTAGTTAAGGTTTCGCCAGTAGACCAAAAATTTTTACCATAACTTTGTACAATAAAATTTTACAAATTTTGTTTTGTTATAATTAAATTTTTACAAAATGTATATTTATTACAACATTCATGACCGAATCATTCTGATTCTTATCTATTAAACGAAAATTTGTTATCTTCATTTTAACAGATCGCCGCACAAATCTGTCGTCAAGCGGGCCTCGTAAAGTTGCCCGGCAAGTCCGTTTTGGACTCGCACGAGGACAACTTCGCCATTGTGTTCGCAGCTATGGGCGTTAACATGGAGACGGCGCGTTTCTTCAAGCAAGACTTCGAAGAGAATGGCTCCATGGAGAATGTGTGCCTCTTCTTAAACTTGGCCAACGACCCGACGATCGAGAGAATCATCACGCCGCGTCTCGCCCTGACCGCGGCCGAGTTCCTGGCGTATCAATGCGAGAAACATGTCCTGGTCATCCTCACCGACATGTCGTCGTATGCCGAAGCGTTGCGAGAGGTGTCGGCCGCTCGCGAGGAGGTGCCGGGTAGACGCGGTTTCCCCGGTTACATGTACACCGATCTGGCGACTATCTACGAGCGCGCCGGCCGTGTGGAGGGCCGCAATGGTTCCATCACGCAGATCCCGATTCTCACTATGCCGAACGACGACATCACTCACCCGATTCCCGATCTGACCGGATACATCACGGAGGGTCAGATCTACGTTGACCGTCAGCTGCACAACAGACAGATCTATCCACCTGTGAACGTACTGCCATCTCTATCGCGTCTCATGAAGTCCGCTATTGGCGAAGGCATGACGCGAAAAGATCATTCTGATGTGTCTAATCAGCTGGTGAGTCGTGAATTAGAGAAAAATCTCAAATTGACTGATCTCAAAATATATTTTCTTCATTGTTGTTAATTCTTCGATTTAGAGACGGGTCATAAATTGGCTGATCTCAAAATATATTTTCTTTGCAGTTAATTCTGCAATTACTTTTTTGCGATTTAGACCATTTCTGAAAATTATAAAATGTCCTCATGTAAAGCCTTTGTCATTATAAGAATCAATTTTACTAATAATATTTGTTTTCTAGTACGCTTGTTACGCCATCGGAAAGGACGTGCAAGCCATGAAAGCCGTCGTGGGAGAGGAAGCATTGACGCCGGACGACTTACTTTATCTGGAATTCTTATCAAAGTTCGAAAAGAACTTCATCTCGCAGGGTAGCTACGAAAACCGCACGGTGTTCGAGTCGTTGGACATCGGCTGGCAGCTGCTGCGAATCTTCCCCAAGGAGATGCTCAAACGAATCCCAGCCAGCACTCTCGCAGAATTCTACCCGAGGGACTCCCGTCATTAATCGCCGTTTATTTAAGAGTCTAGCCTTATACCCATGTAACCTCCTGCTCACAATTTTGTTTTAATCCTTAAGCCGTAAGAAATTAATCATAGTTGATTATTCTTAAAATAATTGACTGTGGTTAGAGTCAATTTCTTACGGCTTAAAAATTAAAGCAAGATTGTGAACAAGGAGTAAGATCAAGTCATCGGAGTTTGAAATGAAACGGCGAAAAGTACGCGTTATATCTCACGCCTGCGGCCCTCTGTTCATTCGACACTGTTTAGAACAAAGGAAAATTAATTATCCTCGCGTATTCACAGAGTACATCGACGTAATTTGATAAGAGAACAATTTAACTGGCGCTTGCTTTTATTGTAAGAAAAAGTAAAAGAGAAATGAGAAAGAAAAAGAGAGAAAGAAAGAGAGTAACTCGCTCTGTTACACACTATAAATATTAACAGTACAAGCTACAGGATCGTTTCTCTTTTTTGATGTTGTGCAATGAAAGTGTAAAGTAAATATCGTGTTGAGAAATTGAGTGAGGAAATTGACCTAGCTCGGAATTCTACGGACGGATCTGTAGTCGCGGTTCCGGTGCTGTGCGTGTTGTCTATCATGGTAATAAAAACTGTGAATATATCGTTTCAATTTTAACGCATGCCTCTCGTGCTTAGAGCAGTGCTCGCCCACACTAAGCCGACAATTGTAAAGTGTAATATATCATTCAGTATTAACATAGATGAAAAGTATAGCGGGACACGTAGTTGGCGAATACGTGGTATTTCCCTACATTCCACTTGCGAAATTCACATATAACATGTTTTATGCGTTTGAACCAAATCCAAGGGAAAGATGTTTAACACCACATGTACAGATACTTATTTAGAGGATGTTCTGAGTGAAACCTTACTGTGCATTGTCTCTGCGAAAGGCAAGATGTATATGTTAGAAATAGAGAATTAAAGGAACATTGTTGTCTTTGAATTGTGTTGCATTCAATACATCATTTCAATTGTCTCGAAACTACTTTACACGAATTATTTTTCTTCATGAAATTTATCAGCCAGAAGTATTTTCAATTTTTATTTATTTTATATTTAATTGTGCTTTGATACATACAGATAGCTATTCGAATATTGTATAATTTAATAAATATATAAAAAGGATAGGAAAATATATGTCAATGTAGCAGAAAGTTTTAAAGCGCTTATAATACACATCAAGCGCACAGATGTCTATACTAAACTAGATTGCTAACAAGGGCTTCGAACGTATGTCATGTAAGGTTTCCGGTTGCATGCGAGAAAATGGCGGCGGTCCTATGTGTGTGACGTTGGTGTGTGACACGTTAAGGCTCTTGCAGAATGCCAGACAACAGGGAATAGTATTCAGATTGGTTAATTATTTCTATTCTCTGTTCCTATTGGCTAATATCTATTCTTATTGTCTGTAGCTTGGCATTGTGCAAGGTCTCTTACTTGTTGAGTACTTACAACGTACAATTGAGTCAGCGTGGCTATTAAATTCGTAAAACCAAAAATGCCAGTATCTTACTGCTTCAAAAAATGTCGTGACAAAAAAATAGATGATATTGGACGTTGTTTGCTCTGCTCATTTTCAACAAAAGAATTTTGACTGAACGTAGTGAAAATATGTGGCGGTAGCGGCCATTCTCTCGCATATATCGGAAACTCTATCGGACGCGAACAAATCTCCAGAGTCGAACATGCTATAAACTAGATTGCTAACAGGCTATCTAAAGGTCCATATACAATGGAGAATTGTATGCTGCAGCAGTAAGAAATTAACCAATCACAATCGATTATTCTTGTAAAAATCCAGTATGATTAGTCAATTTCTTACTTTTACGATGTACGATTTTCCATTGTAGATGGCCCCTAAGGGTACAGTCCAGTGGGCGCTGCAAATGGAGAGCGTCCCGATTGTCCACGGTTGTCTACGATTGGATACAACCAACCGAAGAAAAGAATTATCTAGTGAATTACTAGGTCGAACCAATCATTAGAATCTATGTCCAATCGTATCGTGGTCAATCGGGTCCCACCCTGCAAATGCTTTGTAGCGTTTCTTTCTCTTTCTTCATTCGAATCCGAGAAATAGAACAAGAAGGAGAAACGCTGCGCAGCATTTGTAGCGGTTGTTGGACCGTACCTAAAAACATATATGTAATATATTGCTTATGCCCAATTTCTTCACCTCCGGTTAACTTTATCTGTCGGATAAATGTCAACTGTAATTAGTTAATCTTGGCAACCATAAATATGATTGGTCAATTCCAATAGAATAACTGACAGATAAAGTTAACCGGAGGTGAAGAAATTGGGCATAAATGAGAGAGAAGCCGGCCCTAGAACCACGATGTGAGAATATATATTTCTTCCTCTGAGTGTATTATGATCGTTATGCGCATGCAAATAGACTGTATCCGCCAATGGGAAAATAAAATATTGTACAAAGTTGCATGTAATAGGTTATACTATATGCTATAAATATGAGCACCCGAAGAAGCATGTACTCTACCCACCGAGTAGAATTTTGGAACGCAGTCACTGACTTCAATGTCAAGTCGAGGTTGTAGTACGACTCTAAAATAAGTTGACATATTTTATTCAAGTAGTACAAATCGACGGCAAATGCAACGGACATTTAAATCCATCTGTGATTGTGTTCAGAAATCCAACCCTAGGTTAAAAAGGTAATGGACTTTCTACATGAACGTAACGCTCTATGCACAATGTCAGGCAACAGGGAATAGGAATTCGGATTGGTCAATGGTACTTGTTTTCGTGCTGGATTGCTTGCTGGATGGAAATATTCTGTTTTGATTGGTGTATTTCCATCCATCTTCAGAAATACACCAATCAGCAAGCAATCCAGCATAAAAACAAGCATCGTGTGCCGCTGGCTTTAGTCCCGAGCCACAATAGGTGTAGTAAGCTTTAAGCCTTAAGAAATTGACCAATCACAGTCGATTATTCTCCTCAAATTTAACTGTGATTGGTCAATTTCTTAAGGCTTAAGCTTACTACACCTATTGTGGATCGGGACTTAATTTTATCGATAATGTATATAAACAACGATATATCAAGCTGGTATAATACTCATCAAGAAAACGTATCAATTGTATCGATTGCGTCGTCGTTGATATACATTGTCAATATTAAATTTATTTAATAGAAAGTTACTATGTAACTTTAATGCCATTAGTCAAGGTGGGCAGGAGCCATTATTCTAGGTTATTGCGGAAAGCAGTATATTGATTGGCTGTTGCGCGAACTTCCGCCGCGCGTCAAGCATTATCGCGTCTTGTGTGCAGGAACCATAATAGCTTCTGCACACAGAACGCGGCAACGCTTGCCGCGCAGCTGAAGTTCGCGCAACAGCCAATCAATATGTTATTTTTCCGTGAGAGCTACAAGGTTATTATGGAAAGCAGCATATTGATTGGCTATCGCACGAACTTCCGCTGCGCGGCAAGCGTTGCCGCGTTCTGTGGGCAGGAGCCATAAGAAAACGTATATTTGTCTCACTTCAATATACAGCACCAGTTCAGCAGTCAACTACAAAAAACAGACTTACTGCATCAAACGAATTTGAATGAAGTTGTTAAATGATTCGCGCCATTTTCATATATAATGACGAGTTAACAATTAATGTAACTGATAATTAAACAACATAAGTGTTCAAAGTACGTGAAATGGTGAGAATTTGTAGAATAAATATATCTAGCCCAACGTTTATGAATGTTTGGTGTACGAAATATAGAGGTTATGTGTGATAAACATTATACGTTTAACATTTGTAATTTAAGATCAGCAAGATTATTCATATCAGTGGTATTAACTAGTTAAAATATAAATTAAAAAGTTTGTCTACCGTGCGGAACATTAATATATTTTTCTTAGCACTAATTATAATTAAATATAATTAAAAATAGCATTAAATAAAATGTATCATGTATACTTCAATCTTGCATATACACAATTTACAAAATACATAATTTAATGTATATTTCTTCTTTACATGTTCACATATACAAGATTCGATCATTGGCACCTAGTCAATGTGGTAAACGTCCCTTGCTCTTAGATATATCCAACACTACAGAACTAACCCAGTCAGACAGCTTCACGCAACAGCCAAAAAGAAGAGCTTCCAAAAATATTAAAGATGTACAAATACAAGAACGCAAAGCTGTTCTCCTTTCTGATAATGGTGTCCGTGCGACTCAAGAAGTGATATCAGAACATGTAATTTTATTCACTAATAGTTTCTTTCATATTTTTGTTATATGCACATGATCCTTTACTATAGAAATAACATGTGATATTGATTAGGAAGAAAGAGTGAGAAAATTACTCAGCAAACCATTTAAAATACCTGTACCTGGTTATGAATTATCCAGGAGATATCTTGGAGTATACTTCTCAGGACCACGTATATCACTTCATGATCCCAATGAAGCCAATGCGTTGATTGTCTACTCACCACCAGAGATATCTGAACACGACAAATTAAAGTTAGACCCGTATGTAAACAATATCTCTATACAAAATACTTTTGCAATGTCTTTTATGACATGAGCAATATATAACTTTTATGTAAGTAAAACCACTAGGTTCTTATAAAATACTATATAATTTATTTTTACAGATGCAAGCAACTTGTACATGTAGTTGTTGATCCCCAATTGTGCAATGTGTTAAGGCCACATCAACGTGAAGGTGTGAAATTTATGTATGAATGTGTAACAGGTAAACGCATAGATAATGCATATGGTTGCATCATGGCAGATGAAATGGGTCTCGGCAAAACACTGCAATGTATAACTCTGTTGTGGACATTATTGAAACAAGGTAAGCCAAAGTACAATATATCTGTTTTATTAACAATATTATAATATATATTAATATTAAAATATATATTTTATTAAGGTTTCTAGCTACTAGCCATCTTGATTGATGATGTCAGAAGTAAGGAAATGCATGTCCAAAATTCCTGCAAAATATGTCGAAATAAAAAAATGACACAATTGATTAAGCATATCTTCAAAACTCCTTTTGCTCTAACAATCAATAAACAATTGTAAAATGTATATAACAAAATCATGAGGAAAGGTAGGTTAAAAAGAAAGGTTGTGTGTCATGTTAATTTTATGATTAATTTTATTTATTGATTGTTAGAGCAAAAGAAAAGTGTTCAGAGTATTTTAGAAATATTAAGTTATTTAATTAATTATTAATGTCATTTTTTCGATATATATTTTTATTTCGACGTACTTTGCACAAATTTGAGCATGCATTTTCTTACTTCTGATCACAGCAATCAAAAGTTTCGCTGTGAGTAACCAGAAGTCTTAAAAAGTTTAGTTACCTGAATAAAAAAACTGCATAAAATTATACAGAAATTTAACGTAACGTCGATAAGTCAGGAAACAGCTGTTTTATGCTTTAAGTAATAGGGCGAGTTTTTTAATTCATCGATGGATCCATCGATGAATTAAAAAACTCGCCCATATTGTAGTCTATTGTAGATTGAGTGAAAAATGTGGCAAGATATTATTTTAAGAGTATTTTCAAAATAGGATTTTATTATTTAGATAGTGAAATATATAAAAACGTAATTTTGTTCAATAAATAGTGAATTTATAATTAATTCCATTGATATGCTATTGAAAATAGATGAATTTCTGAATAAACTATTCAAAAACATGCATTCAGATATATTCAGGTACATACAGGTATATTCTCACAATTAAAGAACCTGGATTGTATTTTGTGCAGGGCCGGAAGCGAAGCCACTGATAGACAAAGCGATAATCGTCGCGCCTAGTTCCTTGGTAAAGAACTGGTACAATGAGATCTACAAGTGGCTGAACAACCGAGTGAGCGCTCTCGCTATCGACGGCGGCAACAAAAAAGACATTGACAAGAAGCTCATCAGCTTTATGAAAGCTTACAGCGGCAGATGCGTGTATCCCATCCTTATCATCAGCTATGAGACTTTCCGTTTACATGCGCACGTTTTACATCAGAACGAAGTAGGTCTCGTATTGTGCGACGAGGGTCATCGTTTGAAGAATTCCGAGAATCAAACTTATCAGTCGTTAATGGGTCTGAAAGCCAAGAGGAGAGTGCTGCTCAGCGGAACGCCTATACAAAATGACCTGCTCGAGTATTTCTCTCTCGTACACTTTGTCAATCAAGGATTATTAGGGACTGCGCAAGTAAATACAAGTGGTGTCGGCAGATCTCTATCGCTAGTTCGTTTAACTTGGTCGCAAGTTCAGTTGCTTACGCAATCTTTGATCCTGCAGGAATTCCGGAGGAAGTTCGAGACTCCTATATTACGCGGTCAAGATGCAGCCGCGACGGACAATGAACGAAAGCTCGCCGAGGAGCGTTTGTCCGAGCTAGTGTCGGTCGTTAACAAATGTCTCATCAGACGTACCAGTGCCTTACTTTCGAAATACTTACCGCTGAAGCACGAGCTTGTCGTATGCATCAAAATGGGAGAGCTACAAACCCGTCTCTATAAGAGCTTCATTCACAGTGATAGTATAAAGAAGTCTATGGAAGGTACACGCTTTTTCTATACTCTTAAGTAAGATGATCAGATTTCCCAAATCCGGGACGCATAAATATACGGAACACGAGGGGAGGAGAGGATCACAAAAAATTAACTTAACAAAAGTGCTACTCCCTATATAGAATAACAATAAAAATTATTACTAAGCTAAAGTTTCCGTTATCCTTGTTTGAAATTAAGAAGAAAATACAAAACTGGTATTTTCAAAAAGTTGAAAAAAGTTGAAAATTTTCTTAAAGTCTTTTTGTCAAAAAGATTTTAAAAATTCTCTAAATCGAGATAAAATCCGAGACTATCCCGGGAAAATCAGAAGATCTGGTTACCTTATCTAAAGATTCCTGGCTACTTGCCGCGACTATCTTGATTTATGATGTTAGAAGCAAGGAAATGCATGCTCAAAAATTCTGCAAAGTTGAAATGAAAAAAGATATCCACAAAATAACATTTGCAATCGATTACACCTTCGAAATGCTATAAATACACTTTCCTTTTGCTCCAACAATCAATAAGTAATCAGGTGCATTATTATATATAAGATAAATATATATACCAAATATTTTTTAATAAAATATAATTATATAATAGATATATTTAAATTAATATATTATCAAAATTTATATTACTTCTACATTATGACATTCTTTTAATTTAATTATTGCAATGACTAAATGAATAAACAATATACTATAGAAAGAGGAATACTAATTTATGGGATTAAATATTTATTTTCTAATCTTCTTTTTGTTATAAAATATTTGATATGTATTTTATACTACCTCACAAACAATAAGAAATCCGTTACTTAACGTAACTTAAAGCGTTACGGACGTTTCTGTACGAAAAGCCTTGTGCTAGTTCGAGCATAAAGAGTAATTCAATATGTTAAGAAATTTGTTTTTAGTTGCTAATAAATGCTAATGAACACCTGCGAACATTTCTCATATAGATAGCGATAATTCGAAAAAAGGAGGAAGCCTGTCCGCACTCGCTGCTATAACTCTCTTGAAGAAGCTGTGCAATCATCCTGACTTGATATACGACAAAATTAAGGAGAGGTCGGACGGATTTGAGAACGCCGCAAAATTATTACCAGCTAATTACTCGACAAAGTATAAAATCCATTTGTTATTTGTTGTTGAACGATTAAGCGTATGCAGCTTAACGACGGTAAATAATTGTTGCAGAGATGTTTTACCCGAATTGTCGGGGAAATTGATGGTTCTTGATTGCCTGCTGGCATCTGTGAAAACCACGACGAACGACAAAATAGTACTGGTATCCAACTACACGCAAACACTGGATCTGTTCGAAAAACTCTGCCACAAACGTGGCTACAATTACGTGAGACTGGACGGCACAATGACGATCAAGAAAAGAGCGAAGGTGGTCGACAATTTTAACAGCGAGAGTAGCAGCGACTTTATTTTCATGCTCAGCTCAAAAGCCGGCGGATGCGGCTTGAATCTTATCGGCGCGAACCGTCTCGTCATGTTCGATCCGGATTGGAATCCAGCAAACGACGACCAAGCGATGGCCCGAGTTTGGCGGGACGGTCAGAAGAAACCGTGCTTCGTGTATCGCTTCCTTTCCGTTAGTACAACAAAATGTTGATGTTTAAGAAGCGATGAGCTCATTTTCCTTTACAAGGAAAAGTTCCGAAGTGTTTCGTCGATTTTGAATTTATAGTATAAAATAGTATAGTATAAAATTGTTCTAGAAATTCTAAATAACACAAATCTCAATTTGCACTATTTTTGCGTTATTCAGAAATTTGTTTTCAGTATGTTATTTAGAAAAAAGGTAGCGTGCAGAATTTAATAATTTTTAATAATTTAATAAAATAAACAAATTATAATAATTGCGCTATAGAAAAATGTAAACATTATTTAGCTTTAAATTCAATTAAAAAACAAGTCGATAACACTTTTATTTTATATTTTTTACAGTAGGACAAGTTAGAATAGAAATTGAAAGTAAGATTATAGCATTTCTTTATTATAGTATTTATGTAGTACTATGAGATTAATTTTTTTTATTGAAAATAATTTTCAATTAAAATTAGCAAAAAATTGATTTTATTTTACATATTATTTTATTATTAAATTGTTGAAAATTATAAAATTTTGCATGCTACCACTTTTTTAAAACGCAAAAATAGGGAATACAAATAGAAATTTATATTATTTAGACCTGCTAGAACAATTATAGACTAGTCTAAACTCAGAATCGATAAAACACTTCTGGAACTTCTCTTATTAATATATCTTATTAATATATCTATATCTTATTATATATCTTATTATATCTATATCTTATTATATCTATATCTTATTAATATATCTATATCTTATTAATATATTCTCGGCACTTACATCTTATCAATTTATACATTTTTATTGATCTATAAATATTTATTATTATAGGCTACTATCAAGAATTATTATAAATTTACAGTCTTTACGAATATTCCGTATTTTTAGACTGGAACGATAGAAGAGAAGATATTTCAGAGGCAAGCCCACAAGAAAGCCTTGAGCTCGACGGTGGTGGATCAAGAGGACGATGTGGCGAGGCATTTTACCATAACGGATCTCCGCGATTTATTCAAGTTGGAAGAGAACACAGTGTCGGACACGCACGTCAAGTAAGCGCGAGACGTGGATGCTGGCTTTTGAAATTCATCAAGATGATTCACGAGACGTGATACTGTTACAGGTTCAAGTGCAGACGTTGTGTCAACGGCATCGAGACGAAAGGTCCGCCGGAGCAATCCGACTGCAATTCTGACCTATCAGAATGGCGACACACACAGAATCCACGACACCTGCCTGATATACCGCTGAAACACTGCTGGTCCAGCGGTATCTCCTTCGTTTTTCATCATCGTTCGCACGAGCAAGTAAAGTAATTGTGATTCAACTGACAATCTCTCTGATCTTGAGTTTCAATGCTGTTTAAAGTTTATGTTTAAACTTGTTTCTTGTTTTTCATGTTTAAATTATTTTTTGTCAGTCATTTATGTGAAAAAAAATAGAGCAAGTATATATAAGAGATATAAGAATATATTTTTTATTTTAGATAATTGCGCGTCACATGTACATACGCATAAATATAGGTTCATTTAATAAAATATTTATAAGATACCACAGCATATAAATATATGACTTTTTAAACAAATTACCATAAAAGATATGTATCGCGATATTATCTCCTATGAAATAAGTAAATTTTAAGGGATTAGACCACTGTGAAAAAGGCCCGAAAAAGCAGGTAATTTCCAGATGCGAATTAAACAAAACTAAACATTCCATTAAATTGCGGTTTTACATTTTATTTTAGTATATTATGAGCTATTAAAAATAGTTGTAAAAATTAAAAAAGGATTATCATAAATGTTCAAACATTTATTCAAATGTCATGAGACGACTCCGAACTAATGGTCTCTTTTTTCGATTCCAATTTAGATTATCTAAAACAAAGCTTTTTTATTAATTATACTGAAATTCTTAAGCATTAACGGAGTCATTTTCTAATTTTTTGAAAATTTATTGAAAAAAAATGCCAATTTTCGCGAAAAATTTTTAATTAAATTGTTTATAAAACCCGCAAAAAAGGTTTACACAAAATCATCCGTTAATGCTTAAACAATGTAATAACAAAGATATTAGTATCGCATTAATAGAGATTGAGAAATCGTGTACACCATTTAGAATTGTCACCATTTAGATTGTCGTTTTATGAAAAACGCGAAAAACTGGATTTAGCAAAATTCACATTTCCATTGCATGTCTTACATTTTATAAAGGCACTTAGAGCAAGAAACATCGGCAAAAAATTAATTATACGGTATCCATGGTCTGTTTTTATCAGTATATTTCCGATTTGGAAATTTTTAATTTTTTAGCAGATGTACTCGTGAATTCCGTTTCACGCTCAAAACTATAGTCGATATTCATAGTCCGATCTTATATTTAAGATCATCTTAAGTACTGTCTTAAGATGTCATGAACCAATCACAGAGCTATATTTGCATCTTAAGACATTACTTAAAACAATCTTGAAATAAGATTCAACTATGAATACCAGCCTATGACGGTTTGATATTGGCGGTCTTCGTTTTAACGGCATGCGCGTCCTGCTATTTCTCGTGAAAATTTTCTATTAATTCTTTTTCTTTTACATAATAAAATATTACAATTTCACTATAAGTGGAAATTTCACTTTCAAAACTTTGGAGAAGCGATGTGTACTACACGATGCACAGTTGCTAACTGATCGTATATTTAAAGCAAAAACTATCTGAAAATATATTACAAAATGCTTGAGAAATACAATAGTCCGATTCCAAAATGACCTTGAACGAGTTTTGCTGTTTTCTGTAAGTTTTTCTGTCTCTTAATCTGTTCTTTTCAGCTAACTACTGGCTGGTGCAATAAGTTAAAGGGAGACAAGTATATTTTTTCTCACTCTAACTTATTGCACCAGTTCAGCAGTGCAGCTAAAAAGAACAGACGACTAGTGACTGCGCACTCCACCCATTGTGAATCTTTCGGCGCGCAAGTATACGAGTTGACTGTACATCTCCGAAACTACTCATACAGCACGAATGTCTAAAATACATCCTAGAGATGTCCCAGAGATATCACACATCTCTGAGACGTCTCTGGAATGTATTTTGGACATTTATACCGTATGAGTAACCTGCATATTTCAAACCTCTCGAATTTCATTCTAGAAACTTCAAGTTATCATTCAAGTGAAAAAAAGTTTATTTTTTAAAATTTTACAATTGTCTAACCTCTTAATAGAAAGATCAAAACAAAATAATTTTGCGTTGTTTCAGTCAGCACTTGACTTTTACACGCTTTTTATTGTGATTTGATTAGTGTTATTTGTAGAGTCTTCCCGAATAGCACAGAGAATTCAGAACGAATTTAATCGTATCCCAAGTAGCACACACATGTTTTAAAAATGTTTTATAAACGTTAGAACCAAACCTTTCATAACCGTTTCCAAAACGTTTCATAATGTTTCTGAAACGTTTTTCATGAGTAAAAATGTCTACTCAAAAAAACATGAAACGTTATTTTTGCGAAAAAAAAAATCGTTGAAGAAACGTTTTATAAACGATTCATAAATAAGGTTTCAGAGAGGTTCTTGTTAAAACGTTTCTTATTGGTGCTTTACGGTTCTGAAACTATAGATACTTTTAAGAAACGTTTCTGATACGTGTATGTGCTACCTGCGATGTCACCAATTCTGAGTTTATTATTAAATGCAAATTTTTAGAATTCTCTTCACTGAACTGAACTTTGAAGAATTCTTTTTGCATCTGAAAATGAACTTAGAATTGGTGACATACGACTGAATTTTTTTTTAATTTTCTGTGCTATCTAGGTTATTTATTTCAACTTTTTGAACTTTGTTCAAACATTTATTTAAACAAATATTTATTCATTCATCGAAGTCAGCAAACCGTCGTAACGGTGCATCCTTTTATCAATTTCATGTCGCCTACGTTATCTCTCGTGCACATAGCCTTTTATCTAATCGGAGAGTTGACAAGTCATTTGCTTACTTGAACCCAAGTAAGTGTGCGAAGAACGCACTCGATGTATCTCCGTCTAAAATAAAATCGTGGCCTTGAGATTGGCTTAACGGCATTTATTGGATAAGATGTATTGATACATGCGTATGTGTGTGTTATGTGTGTGTGTGTGTCGTGTGCGTGATTTTACGTAAGTATAATTCAATGAGAGAAGACCGGCCGAGCCGCGTACGGCGCGTCGAAATTTTCCTGCGAAATTTCCACCGCCATCATGGCTCCTGGTGATCGCTCTCGCTCGGAAAATTTGTGAATTTGCGTTTTCTCGGACGAACATTTTCCGCTCGGGTAGTAACCCGACGCGCCACGTCATCACGCTTTCCGCAGCGAAGCACGGCCGTGTCGAAACAACACATTCGAGAATTCCTGCGGCCGTGGGAAAGCCTAAAGTGTGAACGGGACCGACGCAACGGACGGGAAAGAGACAGACTGAAAGAGAAGGGACGAGAACGAGAGAGCGGGTCGGGGAGGGAAGCGAATTGGCAAAGCAGCAAGAGAGAGAACGACTGGCGGAGAAGAAGGAGCGAGAATGGTGGGGGGCCGTGTGAATAAAGTTCACATGGTCACGTGAGCGGCCAGCTCGGCAGCTGATTGGTGGAGCCGCGAGGGCGAGCGTCGCTTTCTCTCCTGACCCGCTGCTCGATTGTCGGCCGCCATCCGTAGGTACCGTGACGGGCATCCGCCTCAGAATAGTTCCAGATGTGGCCATGTTTAGTTTGATCTTTAAAGTTTTCGCTCATCGTAGAGAGAGACTACACTTTTATAGTATCTGCAAAGCATAGTAACACGCCTTTGTCCGACCATCTCGCATCTCTTCGTTTCGCCTGCGACTCGTTAATTTTTTTCTCGCTGCGTCTCATCAAATGTTCGCACGCTCTTCTTGCTGAGAGAGATCCGCGAGAGATCCCTTCGCGGGGAACACAGCCGCGCGAGCGAGGGACAAAAATTGAGGAAGATAGAAAGCCCGCGCGCGCACGTGCACGCACGTACGCACGCACGCTTTGTTCCCGCAAAGCACGTTAATCCGCTGCAAGAGCACGCGTCTCTGCGCGTCCGTGACACGCCCGATTATTTATTTCTCTTCGGCCCTCGCGATCGAAGATTCGCTCGCAAGATCTCTCGGCAAGGGACGCGCGCATTCAGACTCGTCGCTCCCTTTCTCTGTCTCTCTCGCGAAACGTTCGCCGTTCACGGGAAGAGGGAAACCTCGTCGTTGTGCCTCCATCGTCATCGGTCATCGTCGTCGTCGTCAACGTCCACGTCAACGTCATCGTCGGTCGCGAAATCTGAATCGAATCGCAAAGATTCTCGTTCGCGATTTCGGTAAAAGAACGCGCAAGTGAAAGCATCGCGACGTTCCCGAGGGGTGGGGGTGGCAGGGGGAGGAAGAAGAAGGAAAAGAGACGCCGACGTCATCCGTCGTCGCAGCGCGTCCCTTTTCTATCTCTCTCTATCTCTCTCTCTCTCTCTTTCTCTCTGTTCTGACGAGACGAGAAGATTACGCACGCACGCGCGCAAGCGAGCACGTCCCATTTCTGCGCACTTCCGTTTCGGATGCTCGCGCGAGACGAGCGAGCCGCACGTCGTGCACGGGCACACACAGAGAAGCGGGTCATACGCAACAACGTCCTACAAATACACGGACGACGGGGGGCAGGCATGCAGAGGCCTGCCGGGAGTATAGGTAAAAGATAATCGTCACGAGAGAGAGAAAGAGATATCCACAAACGACGACGTGTTGGATGTCGTCGTCGCTACCGCCGCCGTCGTCGTCGTCGCCGCCGCCGTTGCCACCGCCGCCGCCACCGTCGCCATCGCCGCCGCCGCTGCTGTCGCCGCCGCCGCCGCCACCGCCGCCGCCGCCGCCCGGATTCAGCTGTGCATGCCACGTCGGCCAGAATGACGTCGTCGCGACGGCGAGAAAAGGACAATCGCGCGTTCTGACCGAATATCATTGCTCGCGGACTTTCGCGGGAAATCGAGTCGCGCGCGGGTAAGAGAGGGAGGAAAGAGAGAAAATCGCGCGAGGGAAAGATCTCGCGCGCACATAGTGAAAACCTCGAGTATCGTATCGTATCGTCGCCCCCTCGGCGAGGGAGACTAAAGAGGGCTGCTACTGCAACCGAGAGTGCATTTGTCGCATACATTCGTTCGTTTAGACACAGAATCCACGGGAGATTCGGGAAACAGAGGACCGTATGTTTGTCGGGTATCGTCGCGCGATTGATCGCGTGAGATAGAGAGAAAGAAAGACAGAGACAGAGATACGACGGTGAAAGAGGGAGAGACGAGAACGGTCTTTTTCACACAGTCCATTCCACGGGGAGAGTTCATTAAGCTCTCCCAAATGCTAGAATTCAGGCAGCGCGGTCGTTATTCCGGCAGAGCAAAGACCTGTCGAGTGTGGTCGGGCGAATCGATCGTCTGATCGTCGTCGGGCGGCCGCAGTGCAGTAATAATAGAAAACTTGTTGGTCACGGGGTTCACGAACGTACGCACGAACGCACGCACGCACGCACGCACGTTACAGATCGAGATCGATCTGCGGAGAGCCGAAAACGATGGCATTAGAAAGTGTTTCCGCGGCAGAGACTCTAATACAAAGGTTTGCTTCATATATATACATATATATATTTTTTTTTTACTCTCAACCGCGCCAATGAGACAAAACACAGGCAAGAGAAATTTTGTGGGTGACTATCGCATCACGACGTTTACACATACATACATACATACATATACACGTGTACATTCATACATATACACGCAATCTCGCAACATATAGCTCTCTCCGCCTCCTCCTTCAGTACCTCGTCGCATCCCTCCCACCTTCTCGACCCCTTTCGACCGATATATTCCACCAGACCGCGACAAAGAGAGCACTCGAAGAATTTCGGCTCGTCCGCTTTTTTCCTCCCGTATGTTTCATGCTAATTTTCCGTGGGTGGGGGTATTTGTTTGATTCTCAGGTTTCATTATTTCTCCATGCGCAGAGCGCGCGCAAGAAAGAGAAAGAAATGTATAAGGTCAAGGTTGCCTTCTCTCGCCGAGAAGACGCTTGTTGCCTAAACGCGATTATTCTTTAGCCGATTGCGAATCCCGCGGGAGCCTCGGCGGACTATTCTCGGAATTGGGTCGCGCAACGCAGTTTTCGAGAGGAGGCGTTTCGCGGGAGAGTCGTGACGTGACGTCAATCCGTTATGTTTTTCTCTCTATTTGTAGCGACGAGCTCAAGTTTCGGTGCCGCGGTCGCGAGAATCTCTCTCTGTGCTCGTGCAAAAAACAAAAGAGAAAAGAAATGGAATCACGCGTGCAAAAAAAGAGAGAAAAGAAACGGAATTACGCGTTCGCCGGCGATCGATTTTTCACCGTCACGAGAGAGGAGCGACCTGGGCTCCCTCGAGATTCGAAAAAGCAATTTGATATAATGCCGCATCAAATCGATAGAGGGGTCGAGTGCATCCTCAGTGCACAGCGCGAAATCTGCTTGAATTTCCAATTGGCGGACGCGTCTCGGGCAAGCGCGAACGATGAACAAGGACAACGTCGCGAAATATCGATTTCCCAGCTCGTTTTCGCGCAGTAGTCGACCGAGGTAGGCAGGACCTTTGGCTTCTTTCCTGCCCGCCTCGTGCGAAAAGGCAGCCTCACTCACACGTGCGCACGCAGCGTGTACATACAGGACAAAGAAAGAGAGAGAGAGAGATCCGGTGACTCTTTAGTATTTTTTCTCCAATGATATTCTTCTACCGGGTGTCGCGTCATGTCTGTTGTGTGCTTTTCTAACGACAAGACCGCTGTAATCGCGCGTCATTGGGTGTATTAACGACACATCGTGATGTGTCATTAATAGCCGCGCTGCTATATGCGCGGTGCTGTCGTTGAATGTTGCTGCACGCGAAATCTGCTGCGCGGTTTTGCTACTCGCACAAATTGTCCGGTGAATTTCGCGCAAGTTGCACCGTAATCCTGGCTGTTGCGAAATCGTTTCAATTGCGACGGGGGAATTGTACACGCGGTGATCGCCAAGTCGAGAACGTCTGGTAGATGGATCGAAGGTGCGAGTAGGACAAAGCGCGACAGAGACTTCGTCACCCGGTATACCCGTATTCCCACCACGCCAAATGGACAAACGTTCCTGACCCTTCAGTCTCTTTCCTATTGACACACGAGACACGCATAATATACACGCACTCGGTACACATATATACCTAACGGACAGAAAAGGAGAAAGAGAAGGAGAGAAAGAGACAGAAAGCGAAAACCCTTCAATGAACGGAATGCACGAGAATCGACACGCGAAGAGCTCTTGGACGTAATGTCTTCTGTCGCATCATCGGCTTTAATGTCGCTCTTTGAGTCGACAATGTTGCAACGACGACGATGACGCCGTTGAGAACGTGATGATGGTCCCTTCTACGTATGTTATGACTTGATGATTATGACGATTCGTCATAATAATGATGATGAAAATGATGATGATGATCTGATGATAATGATGCCCCAATGAGATGCGGTAAGACAACTCCAATCTCTTATTCGACCCGTGACTTCGCGGCGATTCTTCAGCAGCGCGCATAGAGATCGCGAATCGGCAATCGATCGGCGATAATTCGTGCGAGGAATGATTTTAGGGAGATGGTGTCCTAAGGCAGAGGCTCTCTCGAGTTTACGTCGTAATTTCAGTGAGTTCAATTGATCCGAGCACCATGCAGCTGTGCGATTCTTGCCCGCCTCTCGTGGGATCGCCGTCGATCGGTTTCTCTCTCCCTATACCGGGTGTGCGACGAAATTCTCGGATTCAGTTCGTTTTGGCTGTATTCGGCCCGAGTTTTCCGCTCCCGAAACGCGAAACAGGTGTGCGTCCGGACCCGAGGGAAAGTAATAACAAAGAAGAAGGTCTGTTCTTTTTAGCTGCAATTCTTTTTTGCATTTTTCGCGCGATTAATTTCCTCTCGCTCGACGAGAGTTTTCGATGTGCGTCTATCTTATTTGGAGCGCAAAAAGTGCACAGCGATGCAGCTGAAAAGAACGCATGCGAAGGACGATTAATCGGACCCGTTTTGTCGTCGAGGCTTCTTCCTCTCGCGCGGAGGGAGACGCAGCCGATATTTTCGAGACGGACAGTACAAGGCGACTTGCGTCATTGTTACAGCCTGCTCGATCAAAGTTCTTCCTCTGAAGTTCTCCGTCGCATTCGACGTGCACGTGTACAGTCCGTCGACCCGTTTCAATGATCGCTATCGATTTGGCCTTGGCGACAATCATGAGCCCACCCTCATGATTTCCTCGGCGTAATTTTTAGCCCCGTACAGTCCGCCAAACAGACGCACATCGCATCAAATAGCCCGACAGAGAGAGTGAGAGAGGGAGAGTGGCTGTTATGAATTATGTCGAGGTGATGATACCGCACGGCGTCGAGAGATGCGTGCTTCTTTCTCATAGATATTCGAAATCTCCCTTACGATGGGATTGAGAAATTCACTACGATTTTTTGCCAGTTAATCTTATAATTGACGACTGAGATATAGCTCTCGCCCGATCCTTGATATCGATTTATCCGAAAATAGTCATCAGATCTTACTCATCATCACGTCATGCAGCAGTTCTGTGGTCGGGCAATGAAATGAGAAACATGCATATTGCTCTTGAGTAATCATTGATTAATCGCTCAATGCAAAATTATAGTTTTTCTAGTATGTTGCAGGGACTATCATACGTATCTCATATATGATTTAGCATTGTGTATATTTAATCAGATTTTATATATGATAAACAATAATATATAATATTTCACACACACGAGTGATGAAAGTATAACAAATATATTGCTGCAAATTCTGTCGTCGCTGCAAGCATTGAATTACAATCTTGCTATCTTAACGAAGAATTGATAACTTATTTTAGACATAGATATCTTTGTTATCTCTTCTATAGTGAGTTTAGAAATTATTGTATATGGATTTATATATCACATATACCAAAATATAATATATATATTTTATATATATATATATAAAATATATTTTTATATTTTCATATATTTTTTTTTTGTAAAAAAAAATATTACATAATTTTTACTAAAATATAAATCGCCATAGAAGAGATACTTAACAAGTTCTTTTTAAATTTCTTATGGTTATTTAAATTTATTATGGTTTATTTTTTAAATGGACAGCCATGATAATGATTTGGAAGATGGAGAGATTCCATCAGATGAAGATGATGAGCCAATCACCCACATTGCGAATAATGCACCGGAAGCAGCAAAACCAACACCAAAACCAGATTTTGTGAAGAAGACTTTTGAGCCAAAGTTTAACAAGAACAAGAAGCAACAACAGCAGCTTACACAGACAGTTAGTAAACACGACCGTTTCTTGAAATACAAGGGGCCATCTGAAGATTGGGCTGGAGATGTTGAAAAAGCCATCAAGGCTGTGTTGGAAGAGGATACAGGGAGGAATCAAGAAGTCAAAGTGAAGACTAAGAACAACAGGAACAAAGCCAGGAAAAGAATTCGTGAGGAGAGAGAGGAAGAGCGTAGCAAAGAACAAAAAGTATATACAATTTACTAGATCTCTGTTAAATTTGTGATTTGAATTATATCTGAATTCACATACTAAACATTGTTCTTACAATAAGCTTACAATACAGACACAACAGTTGTTATATATGACATCTTAATAACATCTTATATTCTTTCACAGAAACGAAAAATCAGCGATGACGAGAACGGCAACGACGATGAGGACGAGATGCTCTTTATACGAGGAGCGTCGCCTATCAGAAAGGATTCTCAAGAAAACAACTCCCCTAGACGTGCTGTAAACGAGCACGAAACGTTCGAGAACGCCTCAGAATACGAAGAGAGGCCTAACACAAATCGACACAGAGAGAATGAAAACAAACGCGGTACTGGACGTGGAGGAGGAGGAGGAGGAGGTGGAGGAGGTGGAGGTATGAAGACTGCTAATGTTTAATTTTCCGATTACGATTACATAGTTAGAACACATGCTATGTCAGTAACCCAAATAGCCAAACTTGCAAAACTTGCCAAACAGAAGTAAATTTTGTGTATGCTATAAATTTTATCGACAGCTTACTAACAAAAATGCAACAAGGTCTGCTAGCAGAGTATGATGATAGATTGACAGCAAAAACCAAACAGAATCTGTTGTTCCATATAACCACTTGAATAGAATATACTGCAGATCCTACTTGGTTTTGTCTTCAATCTGCTATCAAGTCAGGTCAGCAAGTTCTGTCGACAGAGTAAATTAGTTTAATACAGACACAGTTATGGATCTGCAAATAAATAATAATAAAATAAATCTACTGCCAATCTACCGGCATAGTGTTAACATTTTGCTTGTAGACTTACTGGAACTTATGTAGACTGTATTGTTGTAATTGTAAGATATTTATTGTAGCTGTTTTTAACGTATTTAACGTTTTTATAATGTTACAACAGGACGTCGCGGTGGCAAGAACGAACGTGGTAAGAACAAGACTCGCGGCCAAATGCGAAATGACCGAAACGGTCGCCGACCGCAGAACAATGATCATGGATCGAATTACGATCCTGACACGATCTGCTTATACTACATGCAAGGAAAGTGTCATAGGGGAGATGACTGTCCGTTTTCACATAATGCCTTGCCACCTAGGAAAATGGAATTATGCAAGTTTTACCTGATGGATTGCTGCGCGAAGCGAGAGAAGTGTCTGTATATGCATCAGGACTTTCCATGCAAGTTCTTCCATACTGGTTTAAAGTGTAATCAGGGAGACAATTGTAAATTTTCACATCAGCCTTTAAGCGATCAGGTAACTTACAATTTCTAAATTTTAATACTTATATTTTTATAACGAGAAATATAATTTACTCGTATAATTTAATAATGTAATTTATTTTGAATTGCATTTTAAGTGCTTGAAAATAAGTTACTTGCCATGAAAGATAATTCTGTTAAAACTTTTATTTCAGGTAAAGGCAATTCTATTAAAACACTTGGAAAGTGCGCCGAAAGAGATTCTTGGAGATTTTCCCAGGTTAAGTAGAGAAGGTGCAATATTAATGATAAATAATACTGCACGTTCTTTAGCACAGGGACAAGATGCGGCTAATCAAAAAATCCCCAGTCTCTTCGAATTAAATTTATCAGCACCTATAGACAAGAATGACGAAAAGGATGACAAAGGTAACTTGAGAGAGAAAAGCAGAAATATTTTCTATTAAAGTTATTTTAACGACCACTTTGAAATTCTCATTTCCTTACAAACTTGTTCTTACGCTAATTTCGATTCTTTGATTAAAAACAAAATTGTTCAATTAAACAGAGGAACTAATGGGTCAACAAAAGATCAATATGAGGAAACCTTCCGGTAAGAGGACACGATGGGGATCAGACGAAGACAGAGTCCCTTATGAACAAATTATGCTGCTACAGTCGGCGAACGAGTTGGGTCTTCAGCTTCCAAATGTAGCTTTAGGTTTAGCACAGCAACACAACAATACGCAAATGCAGCACAAACAGGCGCATCTGGCTGCACCACCTACAGATTTTTATGCCGAAATAAATGCGGAATCAAACAAAAATGTATATAGGATGAAAGAAGATTTTACGAAGGATATAGGAGAAGACGATATATTGGAGCAGGTATAACTAATATAAATTAATATATTGTAATAAATTACAGCAATTACAATTCCGCGAAATCATATAAATTTGACTCACACAACAATATGATGTCTCTTAACGATGTCTAAAAGATTTTAAAAATTTTTTAGACGTCTTAAAAAGTTGTCAAAGAGACGTCTTAAGGCTCCTGGCCCCTCGCATTGTCTATCTATTTTTAATGTCAGAAGCGAGAGAAAATGCATGCTAAAAATTCTTGCGAAATATGTTAAAATAAGAATATATATCCATAAAGTAATACTTGCAATTGATTAAACAAATATATAAGATATTCCATGCATTCCCCTTTTGCTTTAACAATCAATAATTTGTCATAAATTAACATACAATTCATCTTCTTAACCTATTTCTTCACCTATTACTGTTCAGGTTAATTTACAATAAATTATTGATTGTTAGAGTAAAAGGAGAATGCACAAAATGTCTTACAAATTTGTTTAATCGATTGCAAGTGTTACTTTATGGTTATATATTTTTTTTCAACATATTAAAAATTTTTAGCATACATTTTCTCGCTTCTGACGTCATTAAGAAGAAGTAGACAATGCAAGAGACTAAGAGCCTTGAAGATATTATTTTAAGACGTTTTGTTTAAGACTACCTTAAGATCGATATATATATATATATATGTATATATATATATCATAGATAGATTTCTGTAATTATATACACATTAAGAAGGAAAGAATTTTTTATTTATTATTATTTGCTGTAGTCAGTTAAGAATTATGATCAGAGTGTAGATTTGCTCATCTGTTCTACTCAGAGTTAGAATTAGATATCGATGATAGCTAGAGCAGATAATGATGGTAGTCGATCGTTTGATACGATTTATATCGTATAATTTAAACTTCAGAATGTATACTGTCGAATAGCAATATTTAGCAGTATATGATTTTAAAATTTAAAGCATACGATACCGTCAACATTGGCTAGCTGTCATCGATATTTAATCCTGAACAAGACGGATAAACAAATCCACTATTTAACTATTATTCTCAAGTATCATCTCTATATGCAAGAAAATAAATTTTCACTCGGCACTGAAACTTAAACGTAAACTGAACAAATTATAAAAATTTACAGTTTAATAACTTCTACAAAATTTTGTGACAAAACGTTTCACGTATACGACGCTCGCAAAGACTAAGAAGTCGTTATATTTGTCATAGCAACAACGTATATAAATCTCATAGTCGGTAATGTAGACAGTTATACATAGTCTTAAAAATGTCATTCAATAGACGTCATAAAGACGTCTGAAATAAAATGTCTTTAAGACATTTTTTGTGAAATGTTTTAAATGAAATGGAATTTAATGGAAATGTTTTAAAGACATCTTCTTTCAGACGTTATCAAAAGACGTCTGAAATAAAATATTTTTAAGACGTCTTTTGTAGGTAATATTTTAAAGACATTTGAAATAAGACGTCTTTTAGACGACTTTTAGTAATGTCATAAAGAGAGATACTTTTTAGATATACATTTTGTGTGAGTAGTTAAAAAAATTATTAGAATCAGCCTGTATTATTATTTCATTTTACTACTAATATTGTTTAACTTTACAGCCGAAAAAGAAAAATCGTAACTCGATAGAAAATCTAAAAGACATTGACTTGAGGCAAATGCTGAAAGCAAAGAAACTAGCGCCTGTGTACAGCATAGCTGACGAAGTAGCAAACCTTACGAAAAATAAAGTCGATGACGAGAGCGATCAAGACGAGGAATCCGATCTCGTTATTGAGATGCCGGCTGAAGATGATGATAAAGAAAAAGGCAAGCACGTTAGTAATCAGCAAAGTAAGTGCTTATATATATCTTGTTTAAAATCTTTATATTTTACATCATTTTTAAGATATTTCTATACTTAAATTAAAAAGATACCTGTGAATAAATCCCTGAAACTATAAGAGATAATAGGCATTTTCTTTGTAACTGCACTGTTGAACTAGTGCAATAAGTTAGAGTGAGAAAACGTATATTTGTCTCATTTCAATATATTGCACCAGTTCAGCAGTGCAGTTACAAAGAACAGGTCTAGTATCAAATAACGGAGATATACAGATTAATCATTGCACATCTGTCTTTAACAGACGAACAGCCCATTGATGCGTTTTTGACGTCTATGGACGAGCAAGAGGTGCCGTCACACTTACCGAAGAAAGCACAGGAGCTGTTCATGCGAATACAACAGCAACAGCGCGCGGCTCAAGACAGTTTCAAAAACATGGACAACGATACCGACACAGAGCGCACGAATCAAGTCATGGAGGATTGGTATTCGGACGAAGAAGATGACGACGACGATGACGACGAGAGCGGTAATCTCACGATAGTTGACAGTTCGAAGGACGAGGTTGAACTCGTCGAGAAGTCCCATAGCGCCGTTAAAGAGGAGTTCCAGACAACGACCCCTGTCGCGCCCAGCGTTCCTCAACCGGCAGTCATCGTGGATAAGCTGGGAGACTTGAGTAAGATCGATATCAGCGCCGAGGTGTCTAAGCTATTATCAACACTTAAAGCCCAGAGTTCCACGGGCAACAAAACGCAGCAGGTTTCAGGCAGCTCTAATCAAGACACATCGAAGGTTAAATCGACTCAAGATTCCACGGGTGAAACGTCAAGTCCAAGAGTATCGCCGGATCCGACACCGGCACCGGTCGCACCTGTGTCCAGAGACCCGCGGATGTCCAGGGATCCTAGGCAACGCAGGGATGAGCAGAAGCCAAGCAGCCCCAGCATATCTGACTCCAAGAGGGACTCGCAAAAGCATCTCAGACTAGAGACTAGTATCTACAGTTCCGGCATTACACCACTGGACACACATATGGACACTGATCTCAGGACGAAAACAGATCAGGATCTCCGGCGACAGGATATGGATTTCAGACAACGCTTTCAAACCGGCTTCGGCGATACGGACTTGCGGGTGGTAGGCGCCAGTTTCACAGACGCGTCCACCAAGTCCGACGTGGACCTGCGTCAGATATTGAGTCTGCCGTTCAAGCCGGCGCCTTCGCATATGCCGTGCACCGAGATCGACGCAAGCATCGCGTCACATCCGCCGATAACGTACAAGGTTTACATTGTCGACATACCACGGCCAGATTACACGGGTCTCAAGTTGACGAAGAACGACGCGCAAGTAAAGTACGATCCCCGTCTCCGCAAGATCTTCCGCATCGGCAAGCCAGAGCTGGTGGCAGACTCGCCGATGTCGCCGCCGCCAGCAGTCATAAAGCAGGAGACTCCAAAGTCGCCACCGCAAATTCGCTCGGATCCACGGCGGAAGACGCTTGAAGCGGCTGCTTCCAACCAGTCCGCAGCAAACGCCAACGCAATGATGTCCAAGCAACAGCCACAGCCAATGGATATGGGACCCAACATGGGTCTTGGACCTGGAGGCATGCCGCCCGGCATGCCTGGTGGCCCGCCACCTAACATGCCAGGACCGGCCATGATGCCGATGGGCCCGAATCATCCCATGGGCATGGGAAATATGGGCCCGATGAGGCCGATGATGCCGCCTATGGGCATGCCGCCGTCGATGGGCATGAACGGGCCGCCGATGCCGATGTCGCAGGGTCAGATGAACTATGACCCACGCTTCAATGTGCAGCGAAACAACGGAGTTGGCCTCCTGGGTCCTGGACCAAGCAATTTCGGGTCAGACGCAAGTAATTCCTACGAGGGTGGGGCGCCACCGCCGTACCCCGGTGGTAACTTCAACAACTTCGGTCCCGGGGGCGGCGGCGGCGGCGGCGGCGGTGGTGGTGGTGCTGGTAGTGGTAGTGGTGGGCCCGGTGGTCCTGGTGATTCTATGGGCTTCAATCCGAACGCCTCGAATCCGCCGAATTTCATGGGCGACGGTACGGATTGGGTCCCTGGCAGCGGGAACAGACGCGGCGGCCGTATCCGCCGGCGGAATCGCAACAGGACCAATATGGTAGCTAATAATTGAGAGAAAGCTTCCAAGGAGCTCTTAGTGGGTACAGCTATCGTGTAGTCCGAGTACCTGACGATAATTCTCCAAAGGGCGTTTCAGTTTGTCGCATGTAGCGCCATCGATACGTCCTTATATATGATTCTGAGAGTTATCGAGCAATGCCGATTATCAATCAAGTTCTCGTCATGTATGTATATGAATGGATGTGTGTGTATGTGTGTGTGCGCGTGAAAAAGAGAGAGAAAAAAGGATTTTTCATTAAGCAAAAACCGCGTGCGGAATCCTGCGTAATTCGTGCATGCACGATTTTCTCTCCACTTCGGACTTACTTAAAACGGTCATACGTTACTCGGAAAGTTACTTACGATACTTTCGTTAAGCAGGTTAAAAAGCTGTGTAAAGCTGCATAATTCTCAACAACGCTTAGTTAGAAATAATTCGTAATACAAATAATATAACAGATATTTATATATAGCGATGAAAAATATGTATCCTGATTAACTTCGCAAAAAGACACTTGGGATTGCATTCATAGCTCGGGTTTATATCTAAAATCGTCTTAAATTATCTTAACATTTTAGGGACCAGGCACACACAGATTAATGTTTTTGTTTAACTGTATTTGTAGGCGCCGGTCCTCGAAATGTTGTGATTGTTTGATTGTTAATTGCGTAAGAAAGTTAATTTGAGATGATTTCTAATGTAAGGTCGGACTATGAGTATGCAGGTCAGCATAATAGCTTTAACATGTTGTACAATTAGATTATTAGAACGGCTGTTCTAACGGCTGCGTTCAGCAGCAGCAGAGAAAGCTGCTTTATGATTGTTATAAAATTCGTGAATTTGAATGATATCTTAAATTAGATTTGGTCAAAATTAAGAGTACACATTGATCAGATTCACGAATTTTATAGTAGTTGCATAGCAGTTTTCTTTGCTGAACGCAATTGATTGTAAGATAAAAGTACCACCAATGCCCGAACATGTGTACCCAATTCTGAACATTTTTATTGTGAAACGTAAGTATTTAAACTTTTAACTTAAAATATAAATACAAGTATTGAGTATATATATACAAGTATATACATGTTTTGTTAAGAATATATGAGTTTAAATACTCATATTTGAAGAAAAAAATAAAGCTGTCCAGAATTGAATATGTGCTCGGCAATTGGTACTTTCACCTTACGCTTTATTGATTTATTATTTATTAATTATTTAAAGAAAAGAGTGAGGACATTCTCTCTCTATCGGAGTAGTGTCTCACAGCGATAGATGTTAATGTTCAGAGAAACAAATACAAAAATTACAAAATACTAATCACACACACATTCGATGTACTTGCAATTAGTAGCCTAATTATATACTACATGTTGAAGCTGTTGTGCACACATTTAGCACGTAAGTCGCTCGCGAATCAATCAATCAACGATCGATGGATGAAGCAAACAAATGATAGTGATTGCACTGACGAGTTTTGTTGTCTTCCACACGTGGCACGCGACACACGGACAAGCAATGTGTGAATGAGTATTCGCGGCATGCGAGACACGCGTGTCTCTCTTGACGATTCACATTCAAGCGATTCGACTGACACACGTGTCAGTCAGTCAGTCCGGATGGTGATGCCAACAAGACGAGATGCCTGTTTATCTTATGAGAAAAATGACTTTACTCATTTGAAGGAATGAATCACATTTTTTTAAGAGAGATAATTTTTACAGACTGCGTTCTCCAATGTTCACTGTCGTTATTGAAGATCTGTAATATATGTAACGTAAATTATATAGATTTTCTATACTGACAGCGAAATATATTGGAACACAGCCATAGTATTCGCATGCCTGCGTGTGTAAACGTAAAGAAATCCTATAGCATAGCAATATATTCTCTCAATACTAACCGATATTTGACAACGTTGGATTTAAGGGAAGGGAACATCACGTAGAAATAATTGTGTCAAATTAATGAAACACTATAACCCGTTATCCGTTCGAGAACGAATACGTTGATATCAATATATTTAACATTCTAATTACCATTATAATCCTATTATCTCCTTTATTTGTTCATCTTATTTAATTTGCATATTTGCACAACTATTCGGACACCGATGACATGATCTGCGTACTTCACGACACGTAGACTCTAAAGTGAAATGCAATATTTTGTAAGAAAATATGGAGTATATGGGGAAGGTTTTAAACCTATCTACAACTATTTCGTGAAACGACTATACTTTTCTACTTGCGTTCTACGAACGTACATATGAGAGTGCGAGTTCTGTTACTTCCAATTTTCCCAATTTTCTAAAATTAACGTGAACATTTTCAATGATCAAGCGACTCAAAGTAACACTCGACTCTGTACTCTCATATACCAATGTAAGTTACAATTAAGCCTGATTAATCTTTCTAGTGCGGTACATACAGTTGTGTATCCCACTGTAATAATACTCTGTGGCGAGTCAGATTTTTAAACATATACACATATTTCCATCAGGATAAATCTATACATGAAAAAAAATATATATATACATATATAGTTGAATTTACTTAGTTGTTATTAGAATGTTAATTCATATTGCGATTACATATAGTTTCTATTCACTCATTATTATTGCTATAGTATGATAGAATGAAATTATATTTGTAAAAAGTGAAGTTTACTATATCATACGATAAGATTTTTGTACAGATGAGACTTGCCAGTTCAAATGCAAGTTCTCGGTGCTTTATCTCAATGATGTAAATACCACTGTATTAGTTCTGTGCACTTTTTAAAATATAATTATATAAGAAGCTGATCTATATATGATGAATGAAGATTTTTATACAATATACAACCTATGCAAGAAAATGTATTCTTTTTTTTTTTTTATGATGTACACAAACGTTTTCTTTTATTTTAGGTTGGAACGAGAATAAGCGGTAACTTTAAAAATGTAATTTCTGGTACATGCATCAATGTACAATAGAACTTAGAGGTTCAGCTCGTATTGTTGATAAATCCAGTCGTGCATCCATTTCGTCATCTAATTCTCCCACTATTGCTCTGAAAGAAAAGCGCATAAATTGTATGCATCTCGTACAAATATTTATGTTTTATATTTATTTCTCTATAATAGAATAAGAGGTGTAAATACAGAATGATGTGAAATAAAATTATTTTTATATCACTGCTTCATATGATAATACAAATATATTGTATGAACAGTATAACTGAGTATTTGTAGAAAAATAATCATAATAAAATGATTATTAAAGTTATATATTTTTCATAAAACATATGTGCTTCTGAATACTAACATGTTGTCTCCTCTGATAATATGTAAACCCAAGACAACTTGCTCCACTCCCTGTGTTGTACTGTACACTCGTTCATGTGATTCATCCAAAATTATGTTAATAGTTTGATCAAAACCTTTCAATGTTCCCTGAAAGAAGTTCCATTTGAAATTAGATTAAATTAGATTAAATAAAATTATGACACTATATGAATAGATATACAGAAGATACAATCAAGTTTCCCAATGGGATTGACATGTTTATGTGTGAAACGCAATTTAAAAGATTTTGACATGAGAGAATATTAACTTAAAATGTTTACTCAAAAAATGTAAATACAACATAGCCATCACACAGTATACGTTATTCCCTGATAATAATAAATGTTTAAGAGAACTGCCAAAGAAGTAACAGTTACTTATGTATATATTGGTTTTTTTAGCACACTTGCGATTCTGCAAATACACATACTTACAATGAAATTTCTACCGTCCGACGTGATAACGGAAACCGTGTCTAACCAATATTTAGGATAATATATGCATCTGTTCATTGTGTTACACTTGAGAGAAAGTTAAATGTTTTTAAAGGATACGATTCACATAGCTTTCTAATCCCGACGCCATTATTTATCATTGACTGCCTGCCAAAATATCGGGTATAAAACCGCATAAGTGCGTAGGCAGGTGACAGCAGATAAGCGGCGCCGATTATAGGTTAACTGAGGCTGGCGCAAAACAACAGTTGCCAAACAAACTTTTCTCACACAGATTATGCCGTAACCGCCATCATCTCGCGCGGAAAACTACAAATCGAATAAGCATGAATCTCCCCAAAGCACGAACCTAGGGAGTCGAACGAGCTAGGTTAGGTTACAGTCTGGTTTCAATCGTAAGGTTGGCCATATCATGGCAGCTTGCAGTAAAATATGAAAAAGAGCGGCATATCATGTCTTGTGATTCCATTAACAACAGAAGAAGAAATCAATCATATTTGAATTATTTTATATCTTTACATTACTTTCTGTTGATGTTGAATTAATATTATCATATTGCGCTTTAAATAATTGTTTCATTAAGTTTCCTTCAAATTCCTAATATTCTATAAGACGAACAACATAAGAGAAATATCACTAAAGGGCATTGTGTACAAACAAGAAATAACTTGTTAGATAACATTTATTTTGCATTACTCGGTAGTGTTTAGTTGAGTAATCATATACAGTACAGATTATGCAGATGAAACATATTTAACAACGTAAATAAGCACCATTGATGAGACAAACTGCTATTAAATCTGTATAAAAACGATTGGAACAATGAACAGGTCAGGAAATACTTATATTACAACTATTAGCACCTCGTTCTACGAAAATGTATCTTTGCTCACGCAAATGGTACCGTCGTCCTTTAAATTTCGGCAACACTTTAAAAAGGTACGGTAATGAAAATCCAAATATATATTTTTGTGTTTTACCATAAGTTTTCTAACAAGAGGGTTCTTCTCTTTATAAGAACATGTTTGACAAGCCTAACACAGCTGGTTTTTTGCACGTATCTCATTATCTATCGGTCATATATGACGCGAAGTTGTTTAAACAAATGGTCAAGTGGCCACTGTTATCTAAGAAGGATGAAGTAGTGTATCGCAATGAAATGAAAAACTTCCTTTCTTTTTTATCGCGAGATAATCCAGACATTAATTTCCCAACGATATTGACATCCCACTTAACACAAGCAGGAGGAACTAAATTTCTTGTTATCATGTGGAAGATATCGCAACTTGCTCTCAGAACTTACATTAAAAAACAATGTGGGTAATATGTTCAGTGTAAAAATACAAAGACAGCTGTTCTCTTCCTTCCATCATCATTTATTTTAAATATATTCTTTAGTTCAAGGTGAATTGTTGAGTGCACCACGTACAAGCCCAGTGGATGATTTGACTATTGCATACTTCAACAGCGTAATTGCTGAAAGATGCAAAGCTGCGAAAGAAATGCACAGAGAAGCAAAGAGAATTCTGGATACTACAAGTAACTTACTCAAGTAAATCCTGGGAATCATGTTTGCTTACATAGTAAATAGTGACATAGTTTTCTTATAATCCTATCATGTATCTTAGGAACGAAATGGAATCACAGAATATATATAAAGCAGAAATTTTTGATAGAACACAGAATATAAAGAAGATGGTATCTGATATGTTGGTTCATCCATTGGTTCAAAAACAGTTGCTAGATGTTGAAGATTCAAACATTATAAACAGTTGGTGTTCTCTTTGTGAACAACATTATATATTTATATTTTATTCTATATAATTTCTCACTGTAGTCTCAAATTATTATATAATATGTATACTGTAGTCTATTATTATATAATATGTATACTGTAGTCTATTATTATATAATATGTATACTGTAGTCTCAAATTATTATATAATATGTATACAGCCTAATTTGACAATTCATGACCTGCATATTGTGTGCAGGTAGGATATTAGGTCTGAACAAAAGGGTTTTCTACCATTTTGCAAATAACCATGTAAATTTTGTGTTATTAAGAAGATTGTTACATGCATAATCATGCACTAATTTTCTTTAATTAATAATAAAAAAATTACGTGATCATCTGCAAAATAATAGGATTTTATTGTTCAATTTGACTTCATATCTACAAACAACAGATGTACAATCTACAATCGTACATATTTACAATCAGTAGCGTCACCATCATAACTCATCTATTATATCGTAATCATTTATCTTTAACTAATAACTCAGAATTTTATATGGTTGTTTGCGAAATGGCAGAGAAATTATATGTTTAGTTTGACGAGTTCTATCTGCACACGATGGATGTATCATGAATCGCCAGACACTTCGTATATATATTTACACACACACACACACACACACACATAATTATTTGTACATTACACAATGTTATTTCTAACATTGCAGTATGGAAAAGAAATATATCAAAGAACCTCCAATATATACGTGGCGGGAGTGAGAAATTAAACGAATTGGAAGAATCCTGTAGGTGCTTATACAAGCTTATTTCGAAGATAATCTCGAATTCGGAAGTACTCGATGCAAATAAATTGCCCAAAATCAACGGCGACAATCGTTTGCTACATACAGAGGTAGTGTAGGGATTGTGCACAGATTTTACGCGCAACTTTTACTGCTCAATAATTCACTTTTTACTCAGGATTTGTACACGAATGGCTCCATTGCGTTCTCCACTCTACTGTCGTTAGTCAGTTTAGCATCTGTACAAATGTTACATCATATAAACATTGCCAACTCGTCAGATTTGTCGAAATATTTATCGCATATCGAAAATGCTTGCAAAAGTATGAAAGTTATACGAGCGTTGTTTATCGCGCTGGAGGTGAAACTCACCGGTATACATCTGGACGAACAACGCGTTTCTCGAAAAGTTACAAACGTTCCCACTAGTTTCAACGTGAATGATACGTTCGTCACAAACAGAAACGTGCTTTTGAAATGTCCTGAGATTAATTTTGATCTCGATCAACATATAGACGATGATCATTTCCACAAAACATTGTGTCCATCCCTGATAGAAGGTACTGATCGTTAAGATTATATTGTTTTCGAGTTTTTACAGACTGAACTCTCAGAATGTAACTCAAGAGTGTATTAACAACTTCTAGGTAAGCATAAGTATTTATTTAGAAGATACAAACGTAAGTATCATCTAGAAAAGTGGATTGTAGCATCGTCAGGCTTCAATAGTTCCTCTTGGAACCATATGAATGGATGGCTGTCTCCTCGCGCACATTCCTTCAAGTGTAAGCCAGTTACACCTGATGGAAAGTTAACTTCACCATTATATTCTCATCATCTACATTATCCTTCACTAACGCCTAAACGTTCCACAGGTTTGTCATAATTTTAAATGTCTAGTACAGTCGAAAATTTTATATTGTTTTGTAAATTAGTATGTGATCTTTAGGAAATATATTGCACAGTCCAACTTCAATCTACGAACGATCAACGTTGAGAAAATGTCATTCAATATCAGGATATCTGATGAATTCAAAGATCTTTAATGGAAAAGCAAGGAAACTTTTTAATTCTTCTGTGATAGCATCATTACATATATCCTAAGATATATTAGAATATATAAATTGATAGGATATATAAATTGGTGAATTGGATCTTTCAATTATTGAAGTAATATTGTAGATAAAAATATTTAACGAAAGTGGAGCTTAGAGATATTGTGAGTGACTGGATAATTTGTATTAGAGAATAGTCTAGTAGACAACAATACTTAACAAATTAAGAACTTTAAACAGTGTAATATTCAGACTTATCAGGTATATAGATTTGCGTTACACGTAGAATGCCTGAGATACAGTATTATTTTATTTTATACTTATTCATTATTTTACTTACACAGTTTATATTTATAGAAGTCCATATTTATGTGTGTGCGCATACAATGTACATATCACATATGTCTATGGAAAGGCATAGATGTGATGAAACAGTGAAAATGTACAAAATGAGTGATTTAATAAATATTAGTATCTTCTATGATCTTAATCAGATTGAAGGTTTATAGCTGAGAACTCCCTGTCACTTTCAAATCAAATTTCAAATGTAATTGTACAACACAGGTCTGCGTTTCCTCGAGACAAAAGTGAACTTAGATGTCGCCTTGCATACTCTGATTACCAATAACATCGCGCTCACTGTCTAGTGATTGAAACGCGAAGAGAGTTGCGCGGTAAGGCTCGAAATCCTTTGACATTTCGGACGACTTCCAAGTTCGTTGAGTTCTCTTGATTGAGATTGAGTCTCTGTTAACTGTTGCTGGTACATGTAAACCGCACTTCTGATCACCACCCAGACCCAGTCATCTCTTTAGCAATACCGAGTGATCACCCACGACGACAAGGATCGATTGCGTATCGCGACGACGTGGCGAGTATGATGCAAAACGTGCAGTCGCATCGGCGGTGTTGTGCAACGTAAGAGAGAGAGAGAGAGAGAGAGAGAGAGAGAGAGAGAGAGGGAGAGAGAGCACAAAGAGGAATAATAGAGAAGAAAGCAAGGAAAGAGAGGGAGAGAGTGAGAACGAACGAGCGTGAGGCAGCAGCACGGCGCGTTTGTAACAAGTATGGCGGTAATCCTATCAGCTGATAGCGTCCGTCGCTGGGATGACGGGTCGCATTTTGGTTAATCGGGTTAGATCGTCCCCTCTCCTCGTGCTCGACGCCGATGACCATAGCTGTGTGTATCGCTGGCAGTTGCGTTACTACGTAATCACGTACGTACGATATCGTATGACGCGTAGACGACTATGCTAACGCACTCGTCGCGCGCTGGCACGTACACGGGATTACCTCCGAGGTGCATCGCGCGTCGCTGACAGACGGACGACAATTGTGCGGGCGGGAATGTCGCACCGTAGGTAGGGTTTCTTTCACCGGGTCGCAAGTACGCGTAAATATATATATACACACACACGTTTTCCCTCTCCCTTCCCTTTTCCGCCGAAGTTCCTCGATCTCTAGTGGCTAACAGGAAGATAACAAACGGAAGAGTGTCCGCTTAATCGGAGCGGCGTGGAATCCGGGCGAAGCGATCTGTGATGAGCGACTCCGAACAGCGGCAGCTGCACGTGCCTTACCGAGAGTACCACAGCCAGAACAACACCAGCCCTGCCGCTCTGGTGGAGACCGATGCGCTGGTGGACCTGTCTATCGCGCCCAGCAGCCGCCTGTCGCAGAGCGACCATCAGTCGCCGCCAGTCGCGACCGCTACCGACCTCCTGCCCGACGTCGAGTTCATTCCGGGTTTGAGCAACGACCAAACCTTAGCCATAGATTCCTCCGGGATCGACCGGGAGAGCCAGCCTCTCCTCGGTCGCTTGGAGCTCGACGTTACGTTCAACAGATTCTCAGGTGCGCCAGGTGCTCAGTATTGTAAAGACAAATTCAATGGTGACTCATAATGTTATTTTCACTAACATTTAACAGTGAAAATAACAGACAGAAGATACAATAATGTTTGGAGTACGATGGAGTGAATAATATTATTAGATGCATCTAACATGTTTGAAGCGCAACCAATTTTCTGTAGCACAAAGTATCACTCTTTGTAATAGAGTGTAATATTTTATTAATGTTGTATCTTTGTAATATTTTATTAATATTGTATCAATTGAGATATTTTGACTTATGTTTCTGCATGCTTGTGTTATATATTGAAATTTTTCATTATTATTTTGCTGTGCTCCTGTTTGCTATAAAATAGCGCAAAAGAGGTAATATAATGTTATTTTCATTAACATTTAACAGTGACAATACAGATAGAACATACGATAATGTTTGAAGTGTAATATAGTGAATAATATTGTTAGATGCTCAGGACATCTTCGAAGCACAAATGATTTTCTGCAGTACAAAGCATCACTTTTTGTAATAAAGTTTTATTAATGTTACATTGATTGGGATATTTTGACTTATGTTCCTGCATGCTTGTGTTATATATTGTTGAAATTCTTTATTATTATTTTACTATGCTCTTGTTTGCTGTGAAATAGCAAGAGAGATAATACTATGAGTTATCATGAATTTGTTTGAATTCTGACAACATTAAGAAAAGATGATTTTATTTTTAAAAAGAAAAGGTAACCTTGAATTTTTTTATGAAAGAAAGAACGTTTTCAAAATTTTTATTGCTGCATTTTTTGCTGTCTGAAAGCTGATTTATTGTATCAGAAATTTCTTCCTATTCGATCATTATAATTAGTAAAAAATATAGTAGATTATGATGAACACGCACACTCTGTAGAAATGCCAGTACCTGGCCAATAAGTCAACTATACAATATTTGAATTAAATTCTTGATGTTTGATAGTGAAAATTGGACAGATACTCGTGTTGCTATAATTTAAAATTTTAATTAAAATAATAACTATTTTTTAATCAATAAAAAATAAAAGCTATTTGTCACCAAACATATCTCTGTGTATATTTATACTGATGACTCAACCCTTGCTTTCTAAGATTCATATGACACACATGTTACAGATATATCTATGTTGTTACAGATGATCCACAGTTCTCAGAGCTGGTATGGCAGGCGGAATGTGCGATAGATAATGGAGTTTATCCGGAGAGGATATACCAGGGCTCTAGTGGAAGTTACTTTGTAAAAAATCCAGCAGCGGTAAGATTTGCTTGTGATTTGAAGCGAGGGAAATAAATCAGGATCATGTAGATTTCAAGATTATATGTATGCGGATTGTTTACATATTGTCTATATAATGTGTGCATGGTCTTTCTTCATGTGGACAATGTGAACTACATTGCTTGCCAATATTCTACGTAACTTACCAACTACATAGAATTAGTTATGTTAAAGTATACCAAAGGAATAATTTAAATGTGAAAAAATTATCATATCTGTTTCACGTACTAATTATAAGTGTAATGTTTAAAGAAGAAGTTGCATAAATTTTCATTTTATGTTTCGTTTTATTGGTAGACTTAACTCTAAAAGTAAAAATGTAACTAAAGAATTCTGTAAAATCTAACTTTTTTGTAAGAAATAATGATACGTTTATAAATTTACATCAGGATGCTAAAGGTTAAATTAGAATATAAATTTTTCTCAATTGATTTTTAAACAAGTTATACATTCATAAGCAACATTCATAAATTGCTTATTCTCTACAATGATGTATATCTCATATATAGTTTGCATTGTCTACAGATGTAGAATATTATAATGTACGCATCTGATACTGAAGTGAACAGTAAGCTTCATTGGTCGCTTCTAATTGTCTATATATCCTTTTGTCAGAAAGTAATAGGTGTATTCAAACCGAAAGACGAAGAACCTTACGGCAGGCTAAACCCGAAATGGACAAAATGGATGCACAAGCTCTGCTGTCCTTGCTGCTTCGGCAGGAGCTGCCTGATCCCGAATCAGGGTTACCTGAGCGAAGCGGGCGCCAGCCTGGTCGATCGCAAGCTTGGCCTCGGCATCGTGCCAAACACTAGAGTGGTGAAGCTGGTCAGCGAGGTGTTCAATTACCCGCGCTTGGATCGTCAGAAGGCACGCATGAAGCAGGCAATCATGGACCAGTTCCCTACGGTAGGCTCGCACTTCAACCGCATCGGTCTGCCGCCCAAAGTCGGGTCTTTCCAAGTCTTTGTGGACGGCTACAAAGACGCCGACTATTGGCTGAGGAGGTGGGAAAACGAATCTCTGCCGGCGCGGCTCAGTCGGGAGTTTCAGCTGCAGTTCGAACGGTTAGTCATCCTCGACTACATCATCAGGAACACGGATAGAGGTAAACGAAGTGTATACTACGCACAGTCCACGACAGCGCGAGTTGTACGCGAAACCGCGAGACTGTTGTTGCACGACGCGTGTTTCGTGTCGCAGGTAACGACAATTGGTTGATCAAGTACGACACTAATATCGGCAAGAATGGAACCGACCAGGGAGAAGTGAAAATTGCCGCGATAGACAACGGCTTGGCTTTCCCCTTCAAGCATCCGGACTCTTGGCGGGCGTATCCTTATCATTGGGCTTGGTTGACTCAGGCAAAACAACCGTTCAGCGAGGTCACGAGAGAGCTAGTTCTGCCGCAACTCTCGGATCAGAATTTTGTACAGGATCTCTGTGATGACTTATACCAATTGTTCAAAGTACGTCCTATTTTGTTAAACGCTTTTCTCGTTCGTTAAGCGCGGTACGGTAATACGGTTTGCATATTATCTTTGCAGCAAGATAAGGGCTTCGACCGGCATCATTTTGACAGGCAAATGAGTGTGATGCGCGGACAGATTTTGAACCTGCAGCAAGCCTTGAAAGACGCCAAGAGCCCTGTACAATTGGTGCAAATGCCGGCTGTTATTGTGGAAAAGTATGTACTTATTTACATCTCTTTAATATTTTGACGATTACCGTCATGTACGATTCATTCTGCCAATAATAATCATCTTGTAAAGAAATATTTACCGATAATGGCGATAACAATTTATAATTGTAATAATAATTAATTTTAATTCAATATTTCGCGCGCGCGTGTGTATGTGTATATACACATATATATTTAATATTTCTATTTATATATTCTGTTTTATTTTTGTACTTTAATTTCACAATTTTTCGTATATAATATTTTTTGAGAAGGAGAAACTTGATATCTTTTATTTTTATTTAGAGATTATATTTCTTATTCAAAATAAAATTGCACTTAAAATCATTGAATTTTCTAAGCACTTTAATCTTAGTTTCAAAGATGCCAATGATTAAGTGGAATTGGAAATGATTCATACCTGTTATTTTGTTTGCAGAGCCAAAGGAAACGGCGCTCCAAGATTATTTTCATTCTCTGACACGTTTACCCAGCGCTTCCAGAACAAGAGTCCGTTCTTCTCCTGGTGTTGAGGACGCGAGTTCGCAATTACGAGTCGAGTGGTCGGGTCAGTGAATCGGTGTCAGTGTCAGTTTATACGAGAAACGATCCTGCGCGCCGCGAATAATATTGTCACTTATTTTTCTAAGTTTATCCTACATTTCTACCTCCCTTTCGTAAGCTTCATTTCCGCGCCGTAGCCACGGATCGATCGATCGGGCGGTTGTCTTTTTTAGGCTGTCCTGTATTTATAATAATCTCTCTCAGTTTGATTGGGATATAAGAAATATTCGTATAATTATATTGTATACAGTAAATATATATATAACGTTAAAACGGACCCTTTTAATGCGCTCAGTGTGCGGACGAAGTGTGGAAAAAAAGAAACTCGCGCGAAGATTAGATTGCAACCCATAAGCAAGATACAGGTGTCAGTTTTGCAGTTGCTCGAAGCGTGTGTTTCTTTCTCTATTTCTCTCTCTCTCTCTCTCTCTCTCTCTTTCTCTCTCTCTCTCTCTATTTCTCTCTCTCATGTCTTCCACACGCACACACAAACCATACGCATACACTGTAGCTTGTGCCAATCGGTAATTACGAAGTGCATAGATCATTAGTGAACGTCTGGCGTGCCACTTCACCGCTTAGACGTCGAGAGATAAATATGAAAGACAAATGCTTGATCGTACGATATTTTTGTTCTGCTATTTTTAAGATGATATTAGCTGTGTCCAGTTAGTTCAAAAGTGTCGATCGTTATAGGTTAACTTGAACGTTATATGAAACTTTTTCAAGTTGTAAACTGTGATCTTGTGGTACATACACACGTGTCACGTGTGACGTATACGTATTAACGACAGAGAGAATTCCACGTAGATATTAATGACACTAATTATTAAGTACAAATGAAACCGCTACTGAAGTGCATACAGACGAGATGCGAGTTTTTAGCGCAATTTTTATGAAATTATATATTTTCGCCTGTCTTCTCTCTTGTAATAATAATAACACGCCGTTCTCGATCGTGAGAAAAATAGAATTCTGTGATTGCATTATCTCGTATTTATCTCGATAATTTATATGATTTTCCGAGACGATAATGTCGCGAAGTTAGTTTTTGTCCGTGTTGTTGTTATTATATCAGACGCGTTTTATTGCTTTTAAGATGTCATGAGACTCCGAGGCACCGAGCCGCACTGTTTCGTTACTTTAAATATTTTGATATCTATTATTGACGATTGCGGTTTATGAAGAAGATATTAATGCATTTGTGCATTAATAAAACGTATAACAACGACCAGAAGGGGGATCTAAAGCCACGGAAATGGAGGTTGTCGAATCTTGTTCGAAGAGAAAAGCCTTACTATCCACGAAATCAATGACGTGTCCATGCAATAGAAAAGTAATTTTGCATAAATCGATCTCGATTAATTTCAGTGATCCTTACGTAGCGTTTACGATGCGACGTTTTCAACATCAACATTACATATTGCAAATTATTGTTTTATTGTTAAATTAAACGTTTATAATTGTGTAATCATACGTATTGAGAATTCTAATTAACTATAATAATTATTATATAATATTTATATTATAATATATGTTATAATTATATATATATATATATATATACATATATATATATATATATAGTTATTTTATTATATATATTATATATATATATAAAATTATATATATAAATATATATAAATTTATATATATATATATATATAAATAATTTTATATATATATATAAAATTATATAATATATAATTCATAATATATATTAAAAAAAAATTTATACATTATAATATATGATATAATATATTATCAACAATTATATATACATACATATACATATATATACACACACACAATATGCAGTTATAATTACCAATTATTCGTATAAATTTAGAATTATAATTTCGAACAAATTTTTAATACACATATACACACACATATATATATATATATATATATATATATATATATATATATATATATATATATATCTATAGTATGCCAAAAGATACGTGCAGCCGCCACGTGTGAAGTCTTTCGCGCCGGAACGATTATATAGGAGCCCGTCGAAACAACTCGAGACCAGCACGACGTATCATTTGTCTTATCTAAATGTGGACTCGGCAGCGGCACGTTATGCCCGACCACAACCGATTCGGCCAGCTCGTACTCTTGACAAAACCACCGGCCGATTTCACGGTGATACGACGAACAATTTGTCTTATAGGCCCGTGTGGCAAGTTGTCAAGCGGCAGCCGATCCTACCGAGAAGTAGGTAAGATAATAATCCTTCGGACAGTCCTTTGGATCGTCGCATTCTGCCAGTCTGTACGCCAGTTGCGACCGATATCGCATTGCAAAAGAATGAATCGCTCCCCAGCGAACACCAGCTAATAGTAACATTACATCAATTATTATTAAGATAATGATTAAGATTTTTCACTCAATGTGATTGTTACATAACACACGTGTTATATTGTATATACATTGATGTTGTATTACTGATACTCTTGGTGTTTATTGGGTCGATAATCAAGCAAATTTGTAAGAAGGGTGTCTATTGAAAGAATGCGTAAATTTTGCGAATTCAAGTCGTATACGATGAATGACGCATATTCTGGATGATCAGTCGAAAAATTTGGATACGCGTTCGTTAACCTATCGAGTGTGTTAATAGGTCAAGTGTGAGTCAATTTGAAGGCACGAAAAAGTTCTCCTCTTTCGCAATCAGGCGGAAATGTCGAAAGTACGCTTTCAGTATCAATAGACACGCTGACAAACATCATGATAAAAATGCTCGAGTTAATATGCAATTTATTTCTGTTTTATGTGTCAGACCGATGACTGGTCTAGGTACGATGGAAAATGTTACAACGATCCGTCGCGATTACGTGGCGAAGCACGTCGAAAGGCCGGAAGCTATTGTACCCCGCGGCAACATTCGCACGAGTTCGGCCCCGCTGGGGAATAGGACGATGGCGAGGATGTCCTATGTTCCTCCGGGACTCACGGAGCCTAGAATCAGTTTCAAACCGAAACTGAGGTATCACCCGCCGAGCCAGCCTCTTCCCAACGAAACTACACAGAAACTGAGTTATCAGCCCTTCGTCGTCGATAAAAGAGAGTCGTATCCTTGGGCGAGCAAACCTAAATACAAGTAAACGCATCCGTCCAAAATCACTTCTTTCAACTTTTTTCAAGAAAGTAAGCAAGACGCGCCAAGTACACGCGCTTCTCCGCCTGAATAAAGACTATAAAAAGAATGATGTTATAACATAGAAAAGAATATTCTGCAGAAGTACTAGTCGGTAGAATCGTTATATAAAGAAACGTTTTAGGTAAACAGGAAGAAATGTGTGAAAACGTTAAAAAAATGAAGTATTATATGTAATATAATATTTGTATATTAACCTTCTTCAGAGCACAGTGGTTTCACCGTGAGATCACTTATTAGAACTAAATCATAGCTTCAGATATCTCGCAACGAAACCACTTATTAGAACTAAATCATAGGTTCAGATATAGTGATCTTGCAAACGAAACCACTGCTCAGTGCATAGTGATTCACTCTATCAGTTACTCGTAGTATTTGCTTCAGTTTGCGCGTTTATTCTGTAAAAATAGAAAAATAGAAAAAGAACATTTCAAAAGAAATGATTTCTTGAGTTGTCATTCTAGATATATGACATGAATATTCTATTAGAATCCGAATTTTGAAGATATCTCACACAGTGCAGAATAATAAATCAAAATATACAATTATATAAAATATATCAAAATATGAAATATTATATTATATATAATATTTTATCTTAACGTTTTTACATTTGTTTTTAAGTTAAAGTGCTTCTTTATATATTAATTCTACCAACAAGAATTTTTACAGAACATTCTTTTCTGTATTATAACATTCTTTTTATATATATAATTTCTTATTATATATAATATTTCACATTTTAATATATATTTAATTTTATATATATTTATATTATATTTTAATATATATTTTATATATATTTTTTATATATATTTATATTATATTTTAATATATATTTAATTTTATATATATGTTATTCCACATTCTCAAACAAATAAGTTAATAAGTAATTAATAAATATTGATATACTTAATTTCCGCATATCAAAGGCGACCGATCACCGCGATGTGCGAAAAAACCACTTATTCGGAGAGCTACATGGAGAACGACACAATACAGGCGGTGAAACCGATTGTGCCTGCCAGGACGTACATATTCCCCTACGGCGCAGAATTCGCGAGCAAAACCGTTTACAAGGAGAGTTACCTGCCGGGCGAGGGGCAACGCATGGAACCAATCGTTCCCGTTGGCAGTATTTTCATACCCGACGTGAAAATGTTCACCGACACTACCACTAAGGTGGCATATTAACTACTAGTTACCGTCGCGGTTCGCCAACAAACACTTTTTTTCTCACTCCGTTCGCACATCATTCATAATGATAAATGTCGCTATTTATGCGAATCGTCCTGCAGCTGAGTTACCAACGAGTCTGGACCGAGAAGCGGAAGCCGTTCTTGCCGCGCTGCAAGAGCGCACTGGGAGTCGGCGCGATGCAATCCGAGACGACGACACGTGGCGAATACGTGGCGAAAACGGCATCCCGGCCGGATCCCTTCGTCCCGAGTGACAATATCCGCACGGCTGGCGTGCCGTTGCAGGGCGATACAACCACCGCGTTGTCTTACGTAAAGCCCGGCGCGATCAAGTCCGTTCACAGTTACAAACCCATCAGGCAGTATCGTAGGTGAGAAGGAGAGGCGCGAGAGATGTAGATTTGCATATTTGAAGCGTGAATACACGCGACGCAACGCCTAAGAAACAAAGTCCGAGATACGTCATCATTGTTGACACATTTCGCGGCAACGTATTCGATCGAGAAACGCCTCCCTCGAGGCGCCACTTATTTTCTGCGTCCTTGTGACGTCGCTCACCTCATTCTGCCAGCAATTATCGCTTTATAAAGAAATATCTATGAATAATGTCTAGATACTCTCAAGTTTCTGAATTTAGAATTGGATGTAAATTTTTCAATTGATCATTCGTAATTGCAGATATAGTGTCGCGTGTATCACATGATTTAACTGAAACACTCAAATCCAGGGTTGCGAATAATTTATTACTTTTTTAATTAATTATCGTGTTTAATTGACAATTAGTATAAGTGAATTTAATTAAAGACTGTTTAATTTATAACTGATCTCAACAAATTCAATCGAAAAATGTTCAATTGACGATTGGTTTCAACGATTTCAATCGACGATTGACATGAGCGAAGAGAATCAAAGATCGTTAATAATTGAACTTGGCAAATTTAATTAAAGACCATTTAATTGACGATTATTAAACATTCTTCAGTTGATTTTGCTTGAATCAATCGTTAAGTTAGTTGAATTGAAATATGTTTGTTTAAATCAATTATTAAATTGAGAAAAATTTAACTGATATTTTCATAAAACTCTGCTCAAGATCTAACTATAAATTCAAATCTACGTATCTCACATAACAGTTAAAGAAATTGTAGTAACTTTCATAGCTTTTGCGAGTTGTAATTGTATTGATCTTGCATTACGATGCATCTTTTTATCCAGGCCGGATGTTAAGTTCGACGCCGAGACGATAAATAAATTATCTTATCAAACGTGGGCGCCACAGTCTAAGGAGGAGATTCCATGGATACGAAAGACCAAATATCAGCCTCCTACTCATCCGATGATCAGCGACACGATTTATCACATGAGTTATCCGCCACCGGGCTTCTACGTCGAGGACGACGAAGTGTGCGCCTGTCCAAACGATGAGGAAGATAACGTTTCATGTACTGCGACAAAAGCGACGCTTTAAATACATTTACAACTGAACTTCTAGATCAAACACTGGCTATAGCACGAGAGTCAATCACGATTGCTGACAATGCATGTGGCCTTTTAAGCCACAATATAAGTGGCCGATATTTCGCTTTTCCAACGAGAACTTTGTTATGAATAAAGTGATTTTAGTGACAAACAAATCTCCCTTGAGTTCTTTACGAGATGTATCCACTTATCTGACGTCAAAGCTTTCTAAAAAAAACAATGTGCAGTTTAAAATCGTGTTGAATAAAAAAAGAACAATTATTCTTGATCATAAAGATCATACTTGAATGAGTCCTTGTTAGAGTTGCGAGTAATTAATTATCGTGTTTAAATGATCAATCGATCATTATGAACTAATTCAATTAAAGACCGTTTAATTGTCAATTTCAACAAATTTAATCGAAGACCGTTCGATTGATATTTGATTTCAATGAATTCAGTTAAAGGTCGTTCAATTGATGATTAATATGAGCGAGGGGAATTGAAGATCATTTAATTAATAATTGAACCCAACAAGTTTATTGAAAGATCGTTTAATTAACGATTGACATGAATAAATTCAATAGAAAACTTTTCGGTGACAATACGACTAGTACTTCTCTCAATGCGAGTCCTACTTCGCGCTTCTCAATCATCGGTGACTTCTATGAAGTCACGGTGTTCTGGGTATGAATATTGTTCACAAAACCAATTGTAACCTTGAGTAATCGAACGCTCTTTGATTGAATTTGTTCATATCAATCATCAATTAAACGGCATTTTGTCAAATTTGCTAAGTCCAATTATTAATTGAACGATCTTTGGTTCTCTTCGCTCATGTCAATCATCGATTAAACGATCTTTAATTAAATTCTGATCTTCAATTGTCAAATAAACGTTCTTCGACTGAATGTGTTCAATTCAACCAGTTGAAACATATCTGTTCGAATCAATTATTAAAATGAGACAAATTTAATCGATATTTTTTTACAACTCTGATCGCTTTGGTAATAAAATTCTTGATACTAAGAATACTAATTGTCAATCGCCGTCGAGTCGGATAAGCATTTCATCCCGAGTACATAGCGATGGTAATAAATATGACCGACATATTGATTTACAATCAATTTTATTGCGCGTAAACATGCGTGTTATGTTACACTTATTATACTACACTTAACGATTACGGTAAATAGATCGATGAGTACGAGCGTCTTCTACGGGCCGTAAAATCATCCTTGGTAATAAAATAAACTCTAATCTTTGATAAAAAGATCAATAGCTAATACTAGCTCGTATGTCGCCAAAACGTGTTGGCTCGTATATATATCTTATAATGATAAATATAAGAGGAGAGACAACGCTATGTGCACTCCTACTCGCGACGAAATCCAGTGTACATTTAACGGTGTTTTACATATGTATACAATCGAGATAGAGCTTTCTTCCTTTAATAATACATACATAAGACACACAGACAGGGGAGGGAATGGAGCACCGTAATAACAACTAAATTTTACAATGTATATGCGTGTGCGTCGTCCGCACGTTAACCAAGTTCTCCAGAACGAACCACTTATTTCGCATCCTTCCTCTTCGTTAAAAAAGAAAATAAAAACAATCACTAAATAAACCTACACGATAAGTAAACCTTTATACATAAACGAATCACCTCTTTTAGTAAAGCTATACATATGTACTCATGCATACATATACATTCTCGAAATATGCCTAAGTTATCACGAGGCAAAAATTAAAATTAAAAAAAGAGCAAAAGAAAGAAGAAGAAAAGAGAGAGAGAGAGAGAGAGAGAGAGAGAGTAGTTAAAACGTATACCTAATCTCATCGTCGAGAGACTTCCAGACATTCATGAAGAATTTAAGATCAAAGTCTAAAAATTGTAAGGCACGTATACTTTAGACCATTTCAATCGTATGTGCAAGCTGCAAGCGGCTTGTACATACCCATCTTTCGCAGTTTTCTTATCATAGTATAACTCAAATCGAACGCACAAACGATACTTTAACAGACTTCCTTCTCTTTTTACACTTACAATCCTTCTCAATATCTGAAGAAAAAAAAAAACACTCAATGGCAATTTGACTAGGCGGCACGGTACGGTCACACGTATGAAGATGATTGTCCATTTTCTACGTCGCATTGTACTCTCATAATCTCTCATCGATAAATCTCTACTCTTACATCGTTGTATATGTTAATTCTTAAACATATATCTCGAAATTTTTATAGAACTAACAGCACCTCCCTTTTCCTACAATCTCTAAAGATGCGAGAAAACCAATGTGTAATTATAAAATGGTACGTATTGTGCACTCTAACCGGCAAAATAGCCTTAACACGGTGCAAGTAGATCATTACCCAGATAGTGAAACTTGCAAAAGCAGATTTTGCACAGTATCTGCTGCATAGACTCTGTCAGCAGCTTGCTAACAAGCTAAATCCAACAGGCAGAATATGATGACAGACTGACGACAGAACAAGATTTGTCATTCCAATGTATTTAAATTAAAATACTGCAGATCCTGCTTGTTACCTACTGTCAGATTCGACAAAACATGAGCCGAATGCGGACACAAATGTTTATGGATCTGTCGACAGATCCTAATCGAATCTGTCGCCAATCTGCCGGCAGACTGCTAATAGATTGTTTACTGGATATTAGAATTTTCTAATCGTACATATTATTAATTTACTATTTATTGAGACTATCTAAAGAAGTGGGCACGCTTTCGTATCGTAATCTGTCATTATGATAACTTTATATTAATATTCAGAAACGCTCGATTTAGTTTTTGGTGCCGCGGGCTCATAGATTTGTCTCTACAAATGCGTATGTAGCTAGAAAATACTAGTAATCTCTAATTACACTGCATGCTAAACCCACTCTGTCGGTTGGTGTACATAAAAAAATAAGAGAGAAAAGAAAAGAAAGAAACAACAGATTTTATAGTAATTCGTTAAAATTCTCTCTAAAACGATCTAAACTGGTTAACAAAAATAATTACTATATGTTCGTAATATAATTCTACAATGTATTAGTCATATTATTACTTTTAAACATGCAATATACAAATCTATTATTACATATATTCTTTAAGCGTTTTGTATATCATAAATGATGAGCTATGAGCTTTTGTACTAAGTGTTTATCGTATCTTACAAGAACCTGGGCTTGAAACTGATATTACACGGGACTGTAATATCAGTTTCAGCTTGCTAAAACTGATATTACCGGAACTCTAAAAAAAACGAAGAATCGATATACGCCCAGTTAACTCTAATAAATTCATGAGTTACAATAATAATCATAAAATGCGATTTTTGGTCGCTCATTAAATAAACAAAATAGTACAAACAGCTTGTGAAAGACGGAAAATTTTGGATAATATGACGTTACTGCATCACATTCACGAGAGTATCATTCTAAAGCTACATAACAAAATTTAGAAATCTATCCACAAAATGTTCAAGAATGATAAAATTCATCATTAAATTCATAAATTCATCATGCTGATCAAATCCATCTTTAATTGCACCGATATATGCGTCAATCTCATCGATAAATGTCATTTGAGGCTTAAAACTCGGACAGCAAATAACGCTCTTTTTATACTCGCGTCATTCTTTCTCATATTCATAATTTAGCGCCAGAGACTCTCTTTGCTTTAATTTCATCTTTGTTTTTTCCACCGCTCAAATCCGACGAGAGAGAAGCTTCTCGCATTATCTTTACACATTTTATAAAAGGTAATACCCGTACCGTATTTTATAAGATATAATATACCATATCTCATAACATACAATATACCATATTTTATAAGATATATCTGCGATCTGGAATTAAGCATTACGGCGCTCCGGGTCTCTTTGCATTGTTTTCCTGCCCCGAAGGAACAGTCAAAAGCGCGACCGTCGTCGTATCACAACGCCAAAAATTGATCGGAACACTATCGAGAGCACTCCAAAACGCTGGGAGGTGGTGTCGACAAATACAACCGTCAAGATTTTCGCGACAGCGGACAATAGTCGCGAGTGGCATAAACGCACAACAGACAACGATAATTCCAAACGAATTGCACATTTTTGCATTGAGTTGGACGATCTCCGCAATTCACGCAAAGACACAACAAATGTTTCACAGGCTGTGTACGCAGTGCGCTCTCATATATAGCTCGCATTGTACATCTCAACAGACACATTAACGCTTCTCTTAGGTAAGTAATCGTGCGTGCCGTCGAGCGTGTGCAGGCGCGACGGCACGTGTGTCCCTCCCCCGTTAAATATAACAATCCACGGATCGCGTCCGTCGCTTACTTCCTGTGTATGTGTGTGTGTGTGTGTGTGTGTGTGCACCGGATGAACCGTCAGAGATCGAAAAAGGGTTTGGTGGCCGTCGCCGGCAATCGGCAACAACGACGACGACGACGACAACGACAACACTTGAACGTACCTATTATTGTGGTTTGTTATACGACTGCATGAATTCGGAGAAGCTGAAGTTGTTTAAGTGGTCCAAGTTGAGATTTTCATCAATTGATGTCAGCTCGTTCTGACCCATCAGCTCCACATAGTCCATGTCCGAGCTTGGTCGTCCAACACCCGACTGGCCGAGACCAGGAGCGTAGCTACCACAAACCAAAACACAACCCCAATCACTGGCAATGCTTCAAATAATCTGCGATTGCAACTGCTCTACACTTAAATTGCTCTACACTTTTGCAGAGCAACCGTGTATACCTCTTTCGTCGTTCTTTTTCTCTTTTTTTTTTTTTTTTTCGTTCTTTTTTTAGGTCTGAACGCGTACTTGTTTCGTCTCTTTTCTCGAAAGTGTGCGAGTGACCGATTTTTTATTAGCCGGAATAGCCGGTACAACACGGCAAAAGGTACAAGACAACCACAAGAGTTCGCCAACTCTGTAGATCGGTCACTTGTCTTCCTTCGGAAACTTTAGAAAATAGAACCGAAAAAGTGTATCGCGCGAAGAAATTACTTTTTTTTTTTTCTTTTTAATTCCTTCTCTCTTAATATTCGCACTTATTTTGACAGTATTGCGTATCGCACGGGCAACGGGAATCAGCGATACGTTGCAACGAATTCGCGAGCGATCACGTTAAGAACGTTCAATTGCCAGCTGCGTTGGTAGAGTGATTGGAGCTGCGTTTTGCAGGGTAGTATTGAAACTTTCACGTTGTGGTTGTACCGGCTTGTCTCAGGCCTTTGCTTCTCTCTTATGTCTCTCTACATTCAAGCGATAATAACCCTTTCTCTCTCACGCGTGTGTATGTGGGCGCATAACTACATTATATCTTGTTGCACGCAAGTATGTTTTCGACACGCAGATGTTTACGCTCATATGTTGTATATACATAATGCTATGTGCTAATACGCAAAAAGTTCATAATACAAAAGCTATATCGAAGCCATGGATAAGCCGTTGCGCTAGAAAAATGAATCGTAAAAAACTTGGCAGTGTCGAAAAATCGATTACATGTTAATTTTCTTGTTCCTTTTTCTTTTCTTTTCGTTTATGATTTTTCTTGGTGGTCCGCAATTGAGATATAAAGTGCGAATCCATAGGCTAGAAGCGCTTCTTTCGACGACAGAAGCACAATCGTTGGTCGTAGACTACTCTTGTCACGTTTGCGAATCTATAAATCTGCTCTTCCTCATCTCATTTACAAAACTGTAATGAAAAAAAAAAAAAAAAAAGGGAAACGTAGTCTCTTAAGATAGTATGATATCGTGACAATACAATGTGTGCTGACACATATATAATATGAAGGCACTTATAATAGCTGGATATCATAATCATAGTCATGGCTCATCATAGTCGAGTTTTATATTTTAAGATTGTCTTAAATTCCCCTTCAAATATTTTGTAGTTAATGAAATGATCCGTACAGCATCTGAAGATGAACTTAAGACGGTCTTAAATATAAGACCTAACTATGAATACCGGCCGTAATAGATATTAATTGACTTTCTTCCAATCTCTCGAAAGTACCACGACAAAATCATTAATAAGTTACAACTTAGTCGCTTAGTAACAAAGTGATCTTTAGTACAAAGTTTACAAGTTATCGTTAAATTACTGTGATTATTGAGCGAACATTCTGAGTCAATAAAAATATATGTTACAAAAACATATATAAAATAAATATAATCAAGAGACAATGTTCACTATTCATTAGGTTATAACATGTATATTAAAACTATTTTTATTTTTATATTACACAATTTGTTATTCTTTATAAAATGATTATATCAACAATTATACATATTTATAAATAAGATCAAAAAATGCGGATTTATAAATTTGCAGAATTACGCGACGAGAAATACTCGCCGACTAACTGATCAATTGTGCTTCTGTATTTAATATTAAATTTATAAATTACTAATAAATTGCTGCTACTGGACAAAGATACTGGGACAATAAATATACTTTATGAAAAAAAACGATAAAAACGATCGAAAAACTATTACCGACAAATCGGTGTTCTATAATGTGTGTTATAAAAATACATATAAATATATATTTTTTTCATGAAATGATCTTCACACACAATTATTGCATACTCGTGGAAAATAATTACACTATTCAAAATGTATTTTGATCATCCAGTATCGTCCAATATGCAGTTATTAAACAAATTTTATTATATATTCTGTCTTAATGTATACATTGCATATTACAATTGCGTATTTCTCTTGTAACTTACTAAGTACAATTGTAAAATTAAATGTCCTGTAAAAATGTTTAAGGATCTACAAAAATTTCTGTCAAAAGACGATTATCTAAAAAAAAAAACAATAAAAAAGAAAGAAGAAGAAAATACTGACAATAATCCAGCAACAGGATTCAAAAGATATGCAATATGTGAGCTGCTAGGAATGTCTGTTGGTTCAGTAGACTTAGAATCCACGATTACAGGCTTTAACATAGGCTCACACATTATTGTCTCCGACTTCCACTTCTCTACCATGATAGATGTTGAAAACCAAGTCAAAATTACGGCGAAACAATGAATAGTCATCTCCTCTGTTTCCATCACCAGTAAAGTATGAATTGCATAAATTTCTCAATTCATGATGTATACCTATTTACACAGTGCGTTCGTATATAACATCTATTTAAAAAAAAGGCCACGAATTTTGATTATCATTTCGCTTGTTCAGAAATATACGATATGCCTTATGTACAGGATATTCAATAGATGAGAAAGCGATTTCTTGTGGTCAAAAAAGAAATGGCAGTTTTTTTAGCATGGCCGTACCGATCATTGTTTGTTCTTTTAATAATAAACGACGCATTTTTAAATTTTATATAATCCATGAATTTTGTACAACGTGGAATTATATAACTACTGTGTATTTTATAAAAAACGAACACACGTTTCAGTCATTAAATAATGCTTCTCAATAATATAAAGTAATTAAATTTTTTTATTTCTACCCGGATCATGTCATTTTGACACATTGCCAATTTATTGATCAAATCAGTCGATTAACTTGTACTTTCAATAACCTTTCAATAATTCCATAACTCGTGCGGTTTACAATGCGTTAATGACTTTATATGATCACCAAGGAAAATAAATCCTTTAGTATCGGAAACGTTAAAACGGGAGGTTTAGGGAAATGTTCGTGTCTCATAAAATATATAAAATTGGACCACTAGCAATTGCACTCTGGAGGTCTCATTATTGGCCATTCCTTTCTTGTGTGAAATCTTTCTTTAAAGGAGCCATACCATCGCTCGTGAATCGTTTACTGAACATCCTGTATAATCTGAGATTCGTTTCCTTTTTCGAGTGGACAACGAAATACCACTTCAAAAACGCACTTCCGAAAGTACATCTTCAACCAGATATTCATCGTAGTGTTCTCAATTAGCAAAATCATCACGATTGCCTTTGACAAGATGCAATTACATCCATGCAACTGACCTGGAGGCTGTAGATGGTGTGTCTCGCGTTACAGACGGGTCAGGACTGTGTGGTTGAAATACAGTCGACGGCGTGGCCGGGTAACTTCCACCTGGCCCGCCTTGACCATTACCGCCGACTCCCACTACGGAGGAATGGGACGGCGTTTGATTACCAAGACCGGGGGCACTCCAACCTGGCACGTGCGTCACCAAGAGAGGCTTGACATATCCATTTGTCGATGTGGCTTGGTTGTCTACAGAAATCGACGATTATTAAGAATTTGTCACTATCAACTCCTTATCAAAGCAAATAATAACGAATGATTCTATTTCGCTGAATGACGATAACATTGCTGTATACTTACCGTTAAATGGTGTGTAGTATTTGGAGAAAGCCTGATCTTTGGTGTAATCCGGATAGAGGTACAATAAGTATTGCAAGTCATTTACGCGATCTGCCAAGCACCGTATAGCAAAGTCTTTGCTTGTGAAAGGCTGAAGCATAAAGACTTCGGTTTGATCTGAAAGAGAATGGAGATACGTGAGATTAAAGCTGCATAAAAATTACCTTCCTCGTACGCTATCTCAAATACTTTCTTTTTCGTCTCGATACTTTACTTACCTGCGACCCATGCGATAGTGATACCGCCAAGTTCCGAGTCGGAAAATCGCATCAGGAATGTCCCTGGAGTGCAGTTTGCCAACATCTCTTCTGCTTGCTTCTTCCTAACAAAGCCGAGAATGACACCATCTGACCACGGGCCACGCAAATGTTCTCTAGTTAACTTCATGACCGCGTAGAACCATTCCCAAAAAGTGAAATTTCTTTCAGGTAATGGTTCCTTACAGAATTGTGCCCAAGACAACAACATATTGGAATAATCCTGTCCGTTTGAATTACTGCCACGGAAAGCCTTTTCCGCAAGAAATCGTAAATTCTCATCTGTCAATGAGCGTCCTGTTGCCGAATGAAACTTCACATTTAAAGCATCTGCCACCTGAGGCCATGGTACTTTGTCAGGCACTGCGAATGGTACTCTGCCAGGCTCGGCAAATGCATTATCCCAGGTAACAGTCGCCCAAGCATGAGGTTCTTGATTTCCATGGACGATAACAACTACCGGTAAACTCAAAGTCCACACTTGGAACACCAACTCTCCACCGCCGACGCTGAACTGGGATTGGAACAATAATGAGAATTTTTCATCCATCACGGACTCGGTACCTTTTTTCTCTGCTCGCTTGATCTTCTTCAGCTGCATATTACGGAAGCTCACCGAGAGTTGTCTGGTGGTCTGTAAATAACGTCACATTAGTACAGCATGTTGAAAACGAGACTTACAATTTCATTCTCATTATATTGATGCAAATTATCTGTTAAATATTCTCGCAAACCTGATGATACTCCATCGTGCCGGTGTTATTTAAAATCTCGCCGCTGTTGTCGTTCTTCATCTTGTCGCTCTTCAATAAAGCGTTGGCCTGCGTTTCACTGACTATATATACTCTGACTTGCGGCGGTGTCATGTGCACATTCAACTTGCCGCCGACAAGAAGACGCACCGTACTTGTAAAACGAGTATTAGTCTTCATTACTTGTGGAGGTTGTTTTTCGATGATAAAAGTGCTTGTAACCAGGGAACTCAGCAGTTGTGTGATTTGTGAATTCAATGCTGGAAATGGGTCTTGCATCGCTGACGTGTTGAACAATAACTTTTGCTTCATGAGTTCCGCCTCTTTAATTTGCTGTCGTGTCAGCCAAATTATTTCGGCGAGGCCCTCGCACCATTCCTGAATAGAGTCCAAGTTATTGACAAATTGTATGCCATTTCCTGATAATTGCTGATCCCTTTTCCATCTAAAAACAAAGGCAATAAAATAAAATCGAATTGTTAGAGAATCGTTTCCTAAATAACATTTTTTTTCTTAAGTACTTTTTATGCTAAAAATAAAGGAAATAAATAGATCAATGACCTGATAAGTTCGTCGTCGAGGATTCTGGATTGCAAACTGCCCAGTTTGTTGATTATCTCTTTCAATTTGTCAGCCAGCAAAAGACGTATTTGCATTAAGCCAGCTAATTTATGATTCAAGATCTGCTCCTGCTGTTCTCTTTGCCTGTATAAAAAGAAAAGATACCTCATTAATATGTAATGTATATGATAAGACACAATTGCGTCGCTCGCAAAGTATTGTCCCACCTCCTGATCTTTTTATCGACATCAAAATTTTGCTGATTTTGTGGTTGAGTAACAAGATGTTGCATTTGCGCGTTCAGTTTTGTGCACTCGTGATAACTAAGCGCAAAACTTTCCTGTTCATGCTCCATTTTTCGTATGTCATCCGCGCAATCAAGTGCCTTCTGGCGCAGGGCGGTAAGCTGCTGAATTATATCCACAGGCATGATCAATCTATTACTGGGTATATTTGGTAGAGGTGTACCTAAACTTCCTTCAACTTGTTGCACATATTTCATCTCTAAAGCCAAGCAATGCTTGATTATTTTAAACAAGGCTGCTGGATTTTGCAGATATTTATGCTGTAATCGACATACAGATTAAAAATTCATTTTAATTGATTTCAATCATAAATTACAGTAAACAATACAAGATGCACTTACACGAAACGATTTAGCGGCTTCTGTCAATTTTATCCTTGTTATGAAAAAATCGTCTGTGGTGAAAGTTTGTGCTTTTGACTCCAATTCGTGTATCATAGACTCAACAAAATTGGTTATATATTGCTCGTGCTGTGGATTGTCTGGGTCTATGTCTGGCCTGAAGTGTTAAGTGTTGCAATAATTATTTCTGTGAATATATATGCACCAGGAGTCACATATATGCCTTAAAATTGTAACTAGGCTTACTTGTGCATCTTTTTAAACTTACAAATCATACGCAAGGTTGGAAAAATTTACAATTAAAATACAATTTACTAAGAAGCCCTAGTAAATTGTATTTACATCGATTTACGTTTAAATAATGTCCCTGAATAAATTATGCCTTTATAAGAATAATGAATATTATGACATATAAGTATTATTAAAACATATTTTGCCTTCACATTACAACTAAGATAAATTGTACACTTTTCAACTATATTTATGTAAAGTTGAAAATTATAGTGGACCCTTGTAATTGAATATTAAGGCTTATATGACACCTGCAATCTTGCCTAAGCATTTCATTAAGTTCGAATAAACTAATAATTTATGTGGTATACTCGCCACATTTTTTCTTCTATCCATGATGACAAGAAATGTCTCACTTCTATCGGGAAATGATCACCATACATAGCATGTACTTGTTTTAATGCCTCAGTTGGCAACTGCTGGGACTTCGCCCACAGAGACATTTTTTGATATTTTTATTTCCTGGCCAAAAACAGAAAATATTCATATTTACCATATATTCTATGGCTATTTTATGTCTTAGCTATATTAAGAATTACTCAACCTTTTAATAATGACAAGCATAATTACATCATCGACATATGAATATATGGATAAAGTTTTTTTATGAGAGAAAACTGAGATTGACAGTAAGAGAAAAGTATAGAAATTTCGAATAGAAAAAGAGAAAGATTGGTAGGAATATAAAAAATGCAGTTTAAAAAGACAGATTTTTAGATGCAGACAAGGCAAGTATATATAAACCGAATGGTAGCAAGTCTAGATGGATAACTCAATGTGTCTGTCGTTTTTTGCCATAAAACTCAACATCCCTTTTGCCCAGATTATTACTGTATACTCTATCTATAAATATATTTTACTTAATTACTATCCTTAATTATACTTAATTAATTTCCTAAACTAGGACTTGACTCTCTCTCTCTCTCTCTCTCTCTCTCTCTCTCTCTCTCTCTCTCTCATATTATATTTAAATCTTTTTCCTGATCTTTTAAAAATATATGTAATAAATAAAAGTAGTTTGTACTTATTTCATCAAAGTTTTATACACTCAGTAAATCTAAGTTTGAGCCAAGGAAGCAGTCAGAGGATATTATTTCGAGCGTAGACTCCAGGCAATCTTCTAAACCACAATAGAGGATTTTGATATGTAGTTCTTCTCAAATATTATCAACAGGTCATATTCTTCTTTGAACATCATAGGTCATAAAATTTTGAATGGCTTTCCATTCAGGTATTTGTCAAAGGTACAAAAGTTACATTAACTACATAAAAAATCTATTCCAGACAATACAACCTGCTAAAAGACATCTTAACATTTGTATGTGAAAAAAATGGAGCGTATTTTAAAACATCTGTTACAAATGTATTATCTAGCTATTAAGTTCAAAGCTGGCAGCAAGAAATCTGGAGAATAGAATTTTCTATTGTGACCAATTATGTAATGAGGATTACTTTCCTTCAATTCTGTCACTTCAAATTTGTGAATGAACAGTCAACTTCTACTTGACGAATGAGGACTTCTATTTTTTTTTTAATTTTCCAAATTTCCTACGAGAATTTAATAGATAAATGACAAATCCTTTGTGCAGCAGCTTAATACAAACAACAGAAGAAGTTTGTTATATATTGTTTTAGGTTTGAATTTAAATATAAGTTTAAAACGCAGTCGCGTTGATACGGCAGGACAAGATCGCCTGCATCTCCATCAAGGTTGAAATATCGATTTCCGTCTTCGCTTGTGCAAAATGTGAATTGTGCGAATAATACGCGCGAATCTAATCCAGAGACGGGGAAAGTGAAATTTCTCTTAACCCGACAATCAACACGCACGTGAAATCTCTCCCGTGAGCTTATAATCTTCGAGTATTTACATACTTAGCGCATTTTTTTCAAGCGCGCGCGATCTCGCGAAACGCGACGTATCGGTGACGATAAGCCGCGGCGCAAAGTACGGCGCGGACGAACGGACGAGTGAGAGAGGGAGCGAGCGCACCGAGAAAAATTCGCCGGAGTGTTGCGCGGCGTGTACCTGCTGCACTTGAGAAAGAGAGGAGAGAGACAGAGAAAAAAAGAACATAAAAAGCATGAGAGCCAGAGACTCAAGACGTGCTGGTTCAGCGACGACAAAATCTCACGACGAGCGCAAATTCGCCTGCCTGCCTGCCTGCCTGCCTGACTGACTGACTGACTGACAGACAGACAGACAGAGACAGACACACACACAGGCAAGCGGAGAGAAAAAGAGACAGACAAACACACGAACAGGCGGCACGAGTACAAGAGATCGCTAACGTGTTGTACGCGATGTAACACGTAAATAGATAAGACCGTGGGAGGGAAACGCAGGACGGGGAGGAGAAGGGGGGAGAGACATAAACGGCGAAGCGAATAAATGCGCGTTGTCTCGTACGGAATATGCTTACCTGCTGTTGCTAGCGCCTCCGTTACCGCTGCTGTCGGCTGCCGCGCCGCTCGGCTACGAGGCACCTACGTCCGCGAGATGTACGACGCAACACGGCCCGATTACCGCTTCTCCCCTTCTCCAACGATGACGCCTCCTCGCGCCTCTTCTCGTCAACGTCGTGTACGCCGTCGGTACCGACCACGGCCTTCGTGGGGATCGCTGAGGCGCGCTCTGCTCGCCACCGACTAAACATGCAGTAATCGCACCAGCGCTCACATCAATAATATCGCTCGTCCGCCTCTCTCGTCCTCCCCCAATCCGCTTTCTCGCCCGCTACTGAGCCGACGGACGGACGACGAGTAGCCCGGGCGACGACGTAGTGACGCGGCGCGGGCGAGGAATTCCGGGAATTTGATACCGTAAATGGCGCGTGGGGGGGCGACCGGATGATGGTGGACAATCACGTGAGCGTAGGGAGCCTGCGCAATGCGCGCTCCGCGTATGGGATCGCGCCGCCGTGATTTATCGATAAACCGTGCTCCAACCGTGCGACCGACACCACTCCTCGCGACCATTTCCCACGCAAAGCGCGCGAAATTTCAAAACGCGCGCGCGTCTCCGGCAAATGCGTGTTATGTCCGATAAAAGTACCACTACACTGTAATACTGCAATCTAATTCTGAACATTCTTCTTGTTTTGGTCTTTAAATGCGAATATTTAAACTTTCAACGTGGAATTTATGTATACATTCAAGGTGCATATATATGTATTTTCTCTCTCTCCCTCTCTCTCTACATTGAAAGTTTAGATGTCTATATTTGAGAACCAAATAATAAAAATATCCAAAGTTACCGATGTCATTAATATTTAGATAATAGCAGATAGTAGTAGATTAGTACTTTTTCTTTAAAGCCACGTGAATTCATAAATGCGCGAGGAAAAATCGAATAGCCTAGAATTGGACATTTACATATAATTATGATATTCTATATGTATGGATATTGTGTAACTATACAAGAGATGTCATGTATAGGTAAGGAATGAAGGACGGTTTACTGAAAATTAAAAAAAGTTTACATTTTTATTTATCTTTTAGAATCTAACTTTTTATTTTCTAAATAATTTAGGGAAAATTCTTTGATTATATTCTTACCTTTAGTTAAATGTACCAAATTGTCATATAATAAAATATAATGAAATGAAAATCTCATAAATTTTTGTTTTAACCCTTTGGGGACGAGTGTCGGCATATAGCCGTCCAAGCCGTTTTACCGTTCCGGACGCGTGTCGGCATATAGCCGCCCAAATTAGTTTGTAGCTGCAAGGCTCGCGACGTCTGTCGTTCTGAGCGATAAGATACGCATAGGTATAGTAAAAGAGTCACGTTTTCATTCAAAGACATTAGGGGCCATTAGCGATGAAGTCTTATCTTCCTTATAGCCCGTCGAGCGGCTCCGTCCCCAAAGGGTTAAATATTATATTTATAATTAATATCAAAAACATAAAAACATTGATACCAAAACATAAAACAAAAAAATATACAAAAATTTTTTGTATATTTTATATATTTTATTGTATATGTATATTTTAATGTAATTTGTAATATTCCATAATCAAATATAATTTACTCTGTCTATATGAAAAGATTGTATACATTACATAGACAATATATAAGCAATCTGTACAGATATATAATCTTGAAGGTTTCACAACTCTGAAACAGTACCATAAAAATGATAATATGACATCTTTTATATTTGTGCTTGGTCCATGTTTCTACGTATATGTTTATTTTTACGTATATGCTTATTTTTACATGTGTATGCAAGAAAAATGTGTAAAAATGTGTTCAATTTTCCGAGAAAAAGGATATAGAAAGCGCCATTGGTAGACAAAATATAAAAATTGATTAAGTTACACATGATGTAATTTCTAATATGGAATAGTGTACATATATATATATATACTTATAGTCTCTTTATATAATTTATTTAAATATTATAAAATATATATTCAATTCTCTCTCTCATTTACAATTTTTGATAAAATTGTAAACATACATACCTATAAATAGAAATATATAAATAAATATATATATATTCTTACAAAATATATATACTTTTTATATATATCATAAAGTATCTGTAAAATATAAATATATTCAATAAAATGTGGCATCAACATTAATTATTTAAGAGTGTATACTATTCTAAATACTACTATAATATTAAGCATTGGTGTGTAAAATATCCATGTAAAAGTCAGTATAGAAAAGCGACAACATACATAAAAAGTTACTAAAAATATAAAAATACTGATTACAGAGTAGATGAGTACTCCCTAAGGTAGAAGAGCAGATTGAAGTGATGTTTAATTGTGCCCCGTATTATAAGGCACGCATACCATGCAAGATGAGTGGTGGTAGCGTGAGAAACAGGGCACCGATTAAATACGTCGAAGAACTTCCGATGCACCAAAACGCTGGAATACAAAACACGCATATTCAAGGAGACAGTATTCACAAGATGGAATTTCAACGGGTCCAATATCGTCCCAATACCTGAGGACGCGACGATGGGTCCGCAAGCACGTGCCAATGCACCGAGAGAACGAAATATGCCAGTGATTACGCCCTTCTGATGCTCAGGTCCAATGCGTGTTACCAGTGTCATCACACAAGTAACAACCATAGCAGTGGCTGTAAAACGGATGGCAAAATGTAAAGATTTGTTCTTCGACATATCGTATATTGTGTTTTAGAAACAAATGAAAGACGAGTACGCTTGATAATCTTCACTAATAACGAATAAATAAACATAATGCTCACAAACTGCGAAAAGAAAAATCCCAACAGACAAAAGTCGTACACCGCTAGCGACACCGATACATATAAATGCGGGAATTACTAGCCACAAACCCTAGAATAAAATATCAAATAAAGAAATAATAATAGCAACAGGGCAGTAGGAGCGCGATGGATTCGATCGTGAATTCAGTTTTCTCACCAATTCGCTGATTGTTTTCGTTCTATTTGGCGGAATGTGCCGCACCCAACCACCCTGTAAAATGGCCATGACCAATCCGATCATGAGAAACATCCAGCCCTGTTGCATGCTCGTAAAACCAAACGTATGATGCGTTAGGAACGTCAGAGTGAATTCCAGGCCGCTATATATGAATAGGTATATAAAGTACGCACGGCCCAGTGTTTTTAAATCTTCTTTATCTGAAATAGGAATTCACATGTTACTATCAAGCTTCTTATTTTTTGTATTATTTATTATTTAACTCTAACGGTATACATCTTCTAGCATAAATATCAGTCTAATCTGTTTTACTTGCTTCAATTTCTAATTTCCTTTCAAAAACTTCTTAAAAATTATGCATGAAAATCACGTCAAAAGTAAAACAATAGAGACTGCAACTTGCAATAAATGATTTAAAAAATTTTAAATTTATTTTTGATAATATACATTCAATAAATGTCACAATATATATCACTCAAAACATCAAATGTTATGTTATATTATGTTATTATCAGATGTAAAGTTTAATCTACAATGTCCTTTGCTCTCTTCTTCTTTGTCTCCTGACTCAAATCTTAAGCCTTAAGCTTAATCTACAATATGTTTTTTTCTACAATATGCTTCCTGTTTTTTTCTACAATATGCTTCCTATTTCTTATTCTCTATTTTTTTTTTAGTAAAAGAGTTAAAGATTGAGTCAGAAAGAGATAAAGAAAAAGTAACAGGAAGCAAATATTACATTGTAGATCAAGTTTTAAACATGAAAAAGATAGAAAACAAGAAGCGAAGAGCACATTGTAGATTAGGCTTAAGATTAACTAGAAATAGATGTTACCTTGTTGATTCAAGCCAGAAACTCCATTAAATTCGAAAAGGTCTATAGGATTAATATAAGAAAATGCCCCAGACAAGCCTTTTGCCAGAGTGGTCGCTCTGTGTTTTAGTGGTAAACTTTCCTTTAGGTAGTAAGAAATGTATAATAAGTTACTTAAAGCTAGGAAAAGTGCAAACATGGCTGGTATCACATACCATGTGCCTTCCCTATTACCACTGGAAATCCACGCGAAAAATGCTCCTATCATGGGTCCCACTACAAATCCTATAGAAAAGGCTATCCCCACAAGTGCCTGCAAAAGCAGAATAGAATTGTAAGTAATTATCAATTTGTGAACTGAATTTTAATCAATTTACGATTATTCCTTTACCATTGCCTTTCCTCTTGTGTTAGCAGAAGTGACATCGCTGATAATAGCCATTGATAAACTGATATTTCCTTTGCTAATGCCACCCACAAATCGTGCCAATACAAATATGCCAAAGTTTGTAGAGAAAGCCCACAGAAGATAGGAGAGTGAAATGCCTATCAAACACAATAACATTAAAGGTTTCCTTCCATATATATCAGACAATGCTCCTATAATTGGCGATCCAAGGAACTGCAAGAAGGAGTACATGGAGCCAAGGAAACCTGTGGAACAAAATCCAATTTATTTTTGTTACATATTCTGTTTTGTGGATCATACTTGAAGACTTTTTCAAATGCTCAGGTAGCAGAAATTTTAAAAAAATATTTTAACTATTCAAAAGACATCTTAGACATATTTTAAATGCTTTTAAGATATTTTTTAGTTCAGATCTATAATGTACTCCTTGTTTCCTGTTTCTTTCTCTTTATTTCTTTCTGACTTAAACCTTAAGATTTTAATCAGAAAAAGATGGAGAACAAGAAACAGATAGCAAAGAACATATTGTAGATCAAGCTTTAGCTAGGAAAAGATAAAAACAAGAAACAAAGAGGCACATTATAGGTCAGGCTTGAAAAGTTTTTGCTACCTGGGTATCTACACACCATGCCCTCACCTCCGTAAAGAACCGTACTGACTTTATCAGGAGCATCGAAGAACACTTGTATGCTTTTTACATACTTGAAAATGGCAGAGTATAATCCTTGACCATGCTCTATCTCTTTGTAATGATCCAAAAGAGCTGGCAGCAGTGGTAATATCATCGTAAATGCCAGGAGATCCAGCAGCAAGGATACGAATACCACTCGCACTGTGTTGTCTTTAATTTCATTCATGTTTCTCAATGTAATTCACACGGTGCGATACTCTATACTATTTTCCGCGCTCGTAAATTTTTCATTCTCACATTGCAAAACTGTTTCTCATTGAATGACAAATCGTCACGCGAAACGTCCAAGAGTTTAGTTACCGGAAGCGATAAGAATAGTGGAAGCGTAATTCGCTAAATAGCCAGTACGCGAATTTGATTAGTATTTTTATCCGGCTACATGACAATCATATAGCATAGCACCCGATTGACAAATGCGCTTTCAGCGTGCAACCTCTTTCCGGGACCGTAACACACAATGGAAGAACGAACGCTCCTCGAACTTCCGACATCGTGACGGCGTCAGGTCGTCGAAAAAGTCTCGCGTGAACCAAAAGTGAAAGTCTCCGACCTACAAGCCGACATCCCGCTATATCTTACTGTCGAATGCTGTCATGCGACACGGCCACACGCCTTCAGCAGCAAACGCCTTATAATCTATCGACATAACCAGCGAGTGGTCTCGGCTCGACGATTGGTAACGTAGGAATCTGCCACACCCGATGTCGGTAAAATCAATGTCGTACACCCGATCGTGATCAGATGCCACTGTATATGCCAGCAGCGCCGAACTCCTCGTCTGAAAACACAATATGCCGAATCACTAGACACGTTCGTTCTCAAACCGCGAAGCCGACTTGAAATCATCTATAGACCAACGACATTCTCGAGAACACGTGCGTCAAACCATAACTTCTCCCTACGATTCCGCCGATTCGGCAGAAACCACGACGAAAACACGGTGATTGAGAGCGGGAAAAAGTAGCGAGAGAGACGCGCACGAAGTCCGCGGAAAAGCGCGGACGATTTTGTGCCTGGCGGCACGCGGCGCCGCCACTCGACTCGCAGACTCGTAGAGATCATTACGTTGTTTTTATTTGTCAGTGAAGCGAAAAATAGGCGCCGAGCGAGCGAGCGAGCGAGCGAGCGGGCGCACCCAGGAGCATTATGCGCATTCTGACTTCCGGTACGCGGGCGCGCGCTCATGCGCTCACGCACACCAGCACACGCACACGCGACACGCACACGAACGCGCGCAGCCCACTTCCTCGCGGTGAACAAAGATCTTTTCAAACCCGTCCCGAACTGTAACATCGCACGGTCACGCGCGCGATCGTTTCTAAATACGCTGCAACTCAATACTCTCCACGCTGATTTCTCTCCTTCTCCCCCGACCCTCTTTCTCTCTCCTCCCCCCTCTCTCACTCTCTCTCTCTCTCATTTTCTCTTTCTCTCTCTTTCTCTCTCGCATTAGAATAATGCACGTCTCCTCTTGCCTATGAGATCCCTCCCCGTGCGCACGTGGAAACGAGTTACGAGTTACGCGACGGCAGGGAAAATAAATCAAAGCGTGAGAAACGATTCGCGCGATCGATCCAACGAGCGCGAGCGCGGCAACTCGTGGTCCTCTTTAGAAAAGAAAGATTTCTGCCGCAGCGAAGGGACATGTTTTTCTCTCTCTCTCTCTCTCTCTCTCTCTCTCTCTCTCTCTTTCTCTTTCCTTCTCTCTCACAAGAAGATGAATAAATCCCAGAACCAGCACGTCGATGATGTATGTCGACGTGGCCCTACGGTGGTCTTTCTTTTGTGAGTTTTTTCTCTGTCGCGCGCGCGCGTTATATTTTACACGTAGTTATACCTCGTAACTGTTATAGATGATCAGATGATACAGGGTTAAATTCTTAATTTATAGTGATCACACCGGGCTCTCTTCAGATTCAAGCGAGAAACGGTAGCTGGAATTTGCGAAAGGATTAAACTCGCAAAAATATCCTTTCTTGCGAAATTTTCCCTGCACGGAAAAAAGATATGGACAACTAAACATAATTCATGTGTTAACTACTTTTTCTTTGTTGCAGGAATCAATTTTCTTATTAGGATAACAAGAAAATCTGCAACAAAAAAGTAACTAAAGTAGTAAATTATATTTAGTTGTCCACCTGTAGCAAATTTGCTGCGTTAGGCATTTTTCTTGCTGTATGAGCAGATTTTCTTGTTATCATAGCAAAGAAATAGATTCCTGCAGCAAAAAAAACGCAACGAATGTTTAACTGTCCATATATAGCAAATTAGTTTGCTGTTGCAACAAATCCTATTTTCCGTGTAGACTTAGACCACGAATATCCGAAGTATCACTAACTTTTCGCGCTAAGTAAGACGAAAAAACGAAGTGGTTGTTTGGAGATCACGGCGCAGGTAGACGGAATTAATGTATATAGGCACTTCCTTTTCATTCTTGGGACATAAACTATTTTTTTCTCTTCGTACACAGAATATTTCACAGGAGTTATTTTGACCGAGACGATCAGCCGTAGATCTCATATAGGAAGAAAATTAAGAAATCCACGCACCTTTTGTCGTAGAACATCTACTCTCTTTCGTGCATTATCTCAGCTATGAATGTCGCCGCTCATTGCTCGAGCCAGCAGCACAAATTTCTCAAAGATGATTGAAAAATGTCTAGAAAAAAGTAAAATTGAAATAAGTAAGATTCACGTAAGTTTAAGCTACAAAACTATAACAGTGTATTGGATATTAAACAATTAAAATATTTTTTACTAAAATAATCGATCATCAAAATTAATCGTTGTCGGATATAATCACGAATAGTTTGATCGATTGACGAAATTAATTATTAAATCACACTTTGATATAATTTTTTATGCACTTATTAATAATTAATTCCATCAATTGATAAAATTACTTGTGATTAAATTTTATTATTAATTTGCTGATTATTTGAGGCGAAGAAAATTTTCATCAGCTACAATGTCCAATATTGACCTCGAACTAGGTCTAAGAAGAATAAGAAGAGTTTTTTTTAATGTCTTCAAGTTTTTCATCTTATAGGATCTTATGTCGAAATCTGAGGAGAGATTCGTCTATAATTTAATAAAATATATGTCTATAATTTAATAAAACTAATATTTAAACTATGAAACAGAGAGTTAATGGAACAGAGAGTTGGACATTAATAAATTAAAATTTTCTTCGATTAAAAAAATTGGCAAATCAATAATAAGATTTAGTCAGTTGTCATATATAAAATCACAAATAATTCCATCGATTAATGAAATTAATTATTAACAGATAACAGATATATATATATATATATATATATATATATATATATATATATATATATATATATATATATATAT